AACTTTCATTTTGAATAATATAAGCAATTTAATCATCTTTATTCACAAGAATAATTGGCAACTGGTTGTATATAAGCGCATAATAATATTCTGAAATGAGCGCAAGATTTTTAGTATATTTTGATACATGAGAAGAAATTTTTCAATTTTTATTTTATTTTCAATTTATACTTCTTTTCCATACTTAAGATTTGTAACCAAAAGTTATTTTTGTCCCACTTTATGTCACAAATATATTGGTTCACTAGCGAACTACTAGAACAAAGTAAACGAACTTTAATAATAGCTAATCTTTTACTATTAAAAAATTATGTTCCACATCTGGAAGACAGATATATTTGTTTCAAAGTCTATTAACTTATTTATTTTTTCCAAATATGTTTTTTTAATTTAAATGAAAATTTTATTAGTAGCAGTAGTATTAGTATTTATTTTTTTAGTATTTCTGACAAATTTTATTTAAATCAAATAATGTGGTTATTAATTATTTGAATTAAATATAAAATTATATTGATCTCAGATAATAATTTTTGTTCGGTTGAATTTAAAATAATTTATTTATAATATTTTGTGTAATAAAATGAACTTTAGTTCATTTTGCAAAATTTGAATTTGCAATAATATTTTGTCACGTGTAGAAAGAATAAATTATAAACTTTTTAAATATTTAATTTCGTTTTTGCTTTTATAGACAAATTTTTGAAAATATTTATATCAACAAAAAATTAAGTTCTTTTGAACGTTCAGAACATGTGGATCATTAGACTGTTTGTCAAAAATTTTAAGTGATTTTAATTAAATTTAATTATTAATTTAAATGTTTTGGAATGTTATTTAAATTAATAATTGTTTTAATTTTTCATAAAGTCAATATTTGAGAAATGTAGAGTAAAAATTTCAAGATCGAAAGATTTTTTCAAGACATTATAAGAATTTGGTTAAAAGGGAATGAACTTAGAAAAAATTAAATTACAAAAAAAAAGTCCTTGAAATAATAAGAACGAAATTATTACAATGTTTCAAAGTTAATGCAGTTCTGTATAAAGAAATAAGGAAATTAAGAAAAAAATAATAGTCTTTTAAAATAATGCACAAACACTCACTGAACAATGATCGACAATATTTCAATCTGTTTCGCGAATTTTTTGAAAATTTAATTGTCTAATTAAATTATTCCACTTTGATTGCTGATTTTCACTGGTGACATGAACTCTCTGACAGTAAACATGTTTTTAAAATTATATTTCACAATGATTTATTTAGTGATATCTGACGTTTTGTAACAGATCACTTGGAACTTTTCAGCTTGACTGGTCACTACTAAATGACTTACATTTTCAATGAAACAACACTTTGAAGTCTTATATATTATATGATATTAAAAGGCAATGACGTGACTAGATTACTGGAACCCATGAAAAAAAATAAATCTTTCTCAAATATTAGACATTTTTTTTTTAAATAGTAAAATTTGTATTTTTTTGTTTCATTTTCACTTAGGAAACATTTTGATTTTATACAGGCAAATATAGTTCATTTTATTTGTCATGTAATAAGCTTGATAAAAAATAAATAGTTATAATCATGCGAGACGAACGTATCTAAAGGTCACGCTGAAGAATAATCTCAATTGATTTTGTGCCTGACTTTTTCATTCCTCCCATGAATTCTTATCAGTTATAAGATGCACTTATCTCGACTTTCTTATTTCTCTTTTCGTAGTTTCTTTTTTTTTACTTTTTTTTCTTCTTTTTGATTTTGTCAATTCGCTCCAAATATTATGTTTGACTTCGAAAATATTACAAAATTGTAAATAATGAAAAAATTTGTAAATAATAATAATATGAAAACTAATAATATATAAATAATTAATATAATTTATTTATTTATTTGAAATGACAAATTAATAATTAATAGACAATATTATACATCTAATAATTTATATATAATAATTAATATATAAATTATAATGAACATTTTATTTTTGCGCATTTAGAAAAAAATTACGTAAATTCAAGGATTAAATTAACGATCGTTTCTTTCGTAAGAATTATTATTCAAATTGTTTTAAACCCACGTTATATATATTAGCCTACTATTGACATTAAAATATTTAACTAGTTTTCTTTTTAGAAATATTTTTTGAAAATGATAAAAATTCTTCGAAGATAATATTCTTTTGTCAGAACTTTCTTCGACTACTCTCAAAAAATGAACTTTTTCGACTTATTTTAATATAATTTTAAAATGCGACTCTTTCGACTTTTTTTTCAACATATTTCAACAAAGTATCATTTTTTTTGGTACAGAAAATGTTACATATTTTGATTTTCAAAGTTTGAAAAATAACCATTGACAAATTTTTACCTCTAAAGTGTCTTAATTTTTTTTCTCGAAATTATTAAAAATAATTGAATATTAAAAGACTTATAGTAAAAATTATTAGAAATAATTAACTTTCAAGAAATTTTAAAATGAAATTTTTGAAAAATTGAATTTTTTAGTAACTTTAATTAAAAATTCTAAAGAATTTAGTTTTTTGAAAAATTTTACTTCAAATTTCATTAAAGTTAGTTGAATTTTTGAATATAGGTACAATTTAATTTAAAAACTTGCGAATAATTGAAATTTCGTAATATTGAATTAAAAAATTAAATTAAAATTTGGACAAATTTTTGAGTGAACTTCTTTTTATATTTTCCTTGTTTATTTTCCCCATAACAAATTTTAAAGAAAACCAGTTTTGTTTAAAAACAAAACATTGTTATAAAAAAAAATTTAATTTCCTGATTAAAATAATTAAATTCTTGAAATATTCTGAAAATTATTAAAAATAATTGATTTAGAGAAAAATTCTATTTAAAGATACTGGAGAATAATTGAATTTTGGGAAGAGTTTAAGTAGAAATTTATAAAAACAGTGAGATTTAAAAATTTCTAAAAAATTAATTTTTACGAAAATTTCCAATTGGAATTTTTTTTTTGAAATTAGTTGAATCATTAAATTTAAAAGTAATATTGAAATATTTTCGAATAATCGAAATTTAAATTTAAATTTGAATTTAAAATTGAAATTAAAATTTTATTTTAGGTGAACTTTTCTTTCTTTTTTGAGTACCTAATTCAATTCCCAAAAAACTTTCTGAAAATCATTAAAAATAATTTTGAACAATTTTAATTAAAAATTCTGAACAACTTAATTAAAATTGTTCAAAATTATTTTTTATGAGTTTCAGAAAGTTCCTTGGGAATTGAATTAGGTACTCAAAAAAAAAAAAGAAAGTTTATCTAAAATAAAATTTACAATTAAATTTTAGTTAAAAATTTTAGAAAATAATTAAATTTTGAAGAAGTTACTGTAAAAGTTTTTTTTTAGAAATAATTAAATTTCAGAAGAAGAAGGTTTGAATTTTGAAAATTTTTCAAAATTTCAATGAATAGTAAAGTTCAATTATATTTAAATTTTAAATATTTATTTTAAAATGTTTTGAAAATTGAATGATTTTAGTTAAAAATTCTGAAAAATAATTGAATTTTGAAGAATAAAATAAAATTTGGTTTTTGAAAAATTTTACTTCAAATTTCATTAAAGTTAGTTGAATTTTTGAATATGTATAATTTAATTAAAAAACTTTCGAATAATTGAAATTCGTAATATTGAATTGAAAAAATAATGGAAAATTTGAACGAATTTTAAGTGAACTTCTTTTTAAATTTTCCTTGATGTTTATTTTCCTCATAAAAACTTCCAAAAAAAGAACTAAATACTTTAAAAGTTTTAAAATAATTAAATTCTTGAAATATTCTGAAAATTATTAAAAATAGTTAATTAGAATTTAGAGGAAAATTCTATTTAAAACTTCTGGGAAATAATATTGAATTTTTGATGAGTTTAAGTAGAAACGTATAGAAACAGTGAAATTTAAAAATTTCTAAATAATTAATTTTTTCGGAAAATTCCAAATAAATTTTTTTTTTTGAAATTAGTTGAATTTAAAAATTTAAAAGTAATTGAAATATTTTCGAATAATCGAAATGTTTTTTTTAAGAAAAATGGTAAAAAATGACATGACAAACAAATAAATATTCACTAATAATCAAGTAAACCATTATTTAAAACACTTTTTTTCAGTTTAAATTTTATAATAAATAACATTAGTCAACAATTGAAAGAAAAAGAAAATTAGTGCAGATGAGTTACAACTTAAGAAACGAGTTTTGAAAAGTTGTTTGTCCACTACTTTTGCTTTTGGTATACGTCAAGTTTAATTCTCCACTATCAATAAAACGATTGTATAAATATGCGACATCAGTTCGTCAACTTTAATCACTTTCTCTAGTTAAAGAGAATCCCTCAAATTATGTAAAATTAATATGGAAAATTGAATTTTTTTTTTAAATTTGAAATTACTAGTTTTTGAACCAGGTTTTCAAAAAGAGAATATATCGGAAAATTTATTTTTTTGTAGTTTATTATCAGTTCACAGTCGAGGAACTTGTGTTTTAAAAGTATTAACCCTTTGAGGACCAAATTTTTTCTTAAAAAGTCGCGATTTTTCATTTTTAAGCAAACTTTTCAGGGAAAGTTATTCAAGTTTTTTACTTAAAGACCAGTGTTTGTGATACGAAATTTTCCAGACTATGTAAAAATTATTGTTTCAATATTCAGTTTTGAAAATTAAGAAATTTATGCCCGAGTTAATAAAAAAATGTTCATGTTGCCTGAAAGCAACACTGGTCCTCAAAGGGTTAATGACATTTTATACGCGATATTAGTTTTATGCAAATGAATGGTATTTAAAAAGTGCTTCACACATGATAGGTTCTTGCTAGTATGGTACTGTTTGAAATAGAATGCTTCTATTGCAAAATTAGAGTGGGGTATATGTAAAATGAACCTGTTGTGATATTGATATAAATATATAAATATCGTGTTCGGCCACAATTACCTCAGTTATAATAAAGGTAAATAAAATAATTAAAAATTAAAATTTACTTACATTTTTAATTACTATGTGTTTTAGGTGTAATTTCTCTTTTACTAAAGTTTAATTCTTCGAGAATTTTGACTTTTTTTGAGTAATTTTCTGTAAAGTGAGTGAACAGCTTTTTGAAGCACTATAAAATACTTCCTCCTTCTTCGTAAGTCATAAGAGAACTGACTATTGATGATTCAGTGCAAGGGACGGAAAAGGGATATGTATCGTTTTACCTGTAGTGCAATCTCAGACGAACTAATCTTTCACTTTTCGATTTCGAACAAATACTCTTTCGTTTTATTGAGCTTTCCTACTCAAAATACAATTAGTTTTCAGTGTAATATTTTGAACCGTCTGAAAGAGATGCCATTCACCTTTGTTTATTTTGCATTTCGACTGAAACTTTCTAGAATTTAGATAATTTTAGAATTTCAAAAATTTTTAGAATACAGAGTGCAAAAGAAAAATATGATTAATTTTTAGTTTTATTAATTATGTTAAATAATTTTGTTTGAGAAGTATTTCTTTTCTTTCTATATCTGAAAAAGCAATAAGTATACAACTAATTCCGTATGTTATGTTTCTGAAAATTCACCCTGAAAAAGGGTGAATTATAATAATAAAATAATGGAATTATAGAAGAATTTTTAGTTAAAAACACTAAAAATAATTGAATTTTGGAGAAATGATTGAAGAAAATCAATTATTTTCAAATATAATAAAATTCTTCGCAAATATTCAATTATGTTCAAAAAGTTTTTTAAATTCTTGTCAAAATTTCAATTATCTTTGTAAATAATAAAATTTCTCTCTAAAATTCAATGATTTACAAAAATTTTAATAAAATTCTTGGCAAAATTTAAATTATTTTAAAAAATTTTCCTCAATTCAATAATTTTTAATATCTATTTTTTAAAAAATTTTACCAAAGATTACAATTATTTAAAAAATTTTTAATAAAATTCTACGCAAATATTTAATTCTTTTCCAAAATAATAAAAATTTCACAGAAATTGAAATTATTTGCTAATTTTTTATAAATTTCTTTGCATAATAATTAAATTATTTTTGAAAATTTTGATTAAATTCTTTATGAGAATTAAAATATTTTCATTACAATTTTAATTAAATTTTATAGAAAAAAATTCAATTATTTTCGAAAATTTAAATAAAATTCTTTACAAAAATATTATTATTTTGAAAAATTTTAATAAAATTCTTTTTAAAAAAATTTAATTAAATACTTTTAAAACAATTTGGTTTATAATTAAACTTTATTGGAATCACAGGAGTTCAATCAGGGTGGCCACAAGTTTCAGTTTATCAATTTCCCTGACATTTCCCTGACAATTTACTAACATTAAAATTAGTTGCCTTGACAAAATTCTTTTTATAGGAAAATATGAATGATTACGGAAAATGAGTAAAATTTATAAATTTTAATAATTTCTAAAAGTTACAATATTTTATAACCCTTCCTGAATCCAACTATATTTTACAATTTTCAACTAAACTTCACCTCTGAATCAATTAATTTAAATAATTTCCCAAAAGTTCTTCTAGAATTCAATTATTTTAATACAAAAACTCAATTTTTGATAATAATTGTAATTATATAAATATAATAGTTTTTCAATTTTGAAAAAATTCCGAACAATTAAAATTTGATAAAATCTTTTAAAAATAATTGAATTTTTGAAAAATATAACTAAAAATGATCAAATTTTTGAAGAATTTTAATTACAAACAGGACCATGATTTCTCAAAAATTTTAATAAGTCCAAAAAGTAAATTTTCATACATTTTTATTTATATTGTTCGAAGATAATTGAATCTTAAAAAGTTATTATATAAAACAATTCTAATAATTAGTTTTTAAAAATATTTTAATGTAATTTTTCGAAAATAATTGAATTTCTTAAAAAAAATTGTATAATTTAAAAAAAACTAACTAATTTTTTTTTAATTTTAATTAAAAATTTTGAATTTGTTTGTTTTTTTCAAAATTTTATTATTTTTGTGTGTATTTGAATTTTCGAAAATATGTAATTGAAAATATTCAAAATATTGAATTTTAAAAAATTAGAGGCTAATTTTCATTAATTTTCATTTTTAAATTTATCTTTAAAGATTTTTCATTAGAATTTTTGATATTTCAATTATTTTTAAAATTTGCAATTAAAATTCTTCAAAAATTAATTTTTAAAAATTTTAAATAAGTACTGGAAATAAATAAAATATTTGCAATTAAATTTTACAAAAGTTTAACTACTCAAAAAGGTTTTATTATTGAAATAATTAAAAAATTTCATTATATTAAAAAATGATGCACAAACAATTTTTGAAAGATTTGTTTATAGTTATTTTTCGAATTATAAAAATCAAAACAAGTTGCACTTTTTTAAGTACTAAAAGTTCTTGTATTTTGTTGCAATGTTTGGAAGAAAAGTCGAAAAAGTCGCAATTTAAAAAAAAAAAGTAGAAAAAATCCTCAATTTTCTTAATTTCCCTGACAAAAATTTTTTTCCTGACATTTTACAAATTTTTTATTAATTTCTTTGCAATACTTCAATTATTTTTATAAGTAAGAAAATTTTTTGCCGGGATTCAATTATTTTCATAAATAATAAAATTCTTTTTAGGAATTTTTGAATTTGATACTCATTGCAGAATATCAATTATTTTTAATAAAATTTGAATCAAATTTCTCGAAAAATGTAATTATTCTCAAAATTTTTTATTTAAATTCGTCGAAGGAAGTCAATCATTTCAAAATTTGTTGATAATATTCTTTATGAAAATTAAATTTTAAAAATATTCAATTATTCAACATAATATTATTTATTTTTGTATTTAAATAATTAAATTCTCGTAGAATTTTCTTATAGAAATTGATTTAAAAATGAATTTCAGTTAAAATTTTTGATAATAATTTGAATATTAAAAGTATTATAGAGTAAATTTTTAGAATTAATTGAATTTTGAAAATTTTTTAATTGTTCATAGTTTTCACTATAACAATACTGTAGAATTAATTTTTTTGAAAAAGTTTAATTGAATTTTTTTATATTATTTTAAGTTTTTATTTGATGAATAAAGAATTTCCGAATAATCAAAATTTCATAATTAACTGAGTTGTAAACAAACGGATTTGGAAATTTTCAAGGAAAGTTTTCAAAAATTATTAAAAATAATTGATTTAAAGAGAAATTTTAGTTAACAAATTCCAGAAAATAATAATCGAAATAAAATGATGAAAATAATTTTGAAGAAGTTACAGTAAGAATAATATTCTTAATAATAATATTAATAATAATAATATTCTTATAATGTAGAATAATGATTGAAAAATAAATTTAAAACTATGAAATTCTGGAAAAATTCAAATAGAATAATGATTTTATCAGTTGGCATCTTTAATTATTAAAAGTTTTTGAATTTCAAAAAGGATTAAATTTGAATGTTTTAAAGAATTTTAATTCTTACGGAAAAATAATAATAATGATGATAATAATAATAATTTATTTAAAAAAGAAGTTATTGATGTTTTCGAATAATTTTCCAATTAAAGAAATTTCAATTCTGTTGCTGTAATATTCAATAGTCTAATTTGAGTTTAAAAATCTTACCTTCAATCACAGAAAAACACTTGACATTCGTGCCTTAAATATGTTACATATGTTTGTGTCAGTACTTTCTGAATTAATTTGAGTCTACAAGCTATAAAGTTAAAAAAAGAAGTTTTGTCTACCTTTAAACACAATCTAATAGAAAATTTTTTTATTTTCAGGTGACAATGAAAGTGGGAAGACTACCCTTATCGCTAAACTTCAAGGAGTTGAAGATCCTAAAAAGGGTTCAGGCCTAGAATTTGCGTATATTGACGTTCGAGATGATTACAGAGATGGTAAGATGGATTTTAATTCCTAATATTTCTAATTTTCGTTCAACAAATGAAAATTGAATAGAATTCAATTTAACTTCCCAACTGTTATTAAACTGAGAGACTCTGTTGTAATAAAATGGTTCTCTTTTCCAGATCAAACTCGACTATCCGTGTGGGTTTTGGACGGAGATCCCGGACACGCAAATCTTTTGAGGTTTGCTTTAAATGCAGAGCGATTTCCAAATACTCTTGTCATATTAGTTGCTGCCATGACAACACCTTGGGCCATTTTAGATCAATTACAGGCTTGGGCTGAATTATTAGGCGATCATGTTGATAAACTAAATTTGGAGAATGACGTCTGGCAACATTGTAGACAACAAAGTAAATATATGCTAATGTTAATTTTTTCTTTTCCATTTCCACATATTTTAATTATTTCTTTTTCCTTGCTTCCAGGTGTTAAAAACTGGCAGGAATACACAGAACCAGGCGATGAACTTGATCCTGGAAGTCCACTGAGGCGCACAAGTCGAAATTTAGACGACGAAAGTGCGGATAATTTACCTCTTACCGAAGGAGTACTCACAACTAATTTGGGACTGGACATTGTTGTTGTCATTACAAAGACTGATTACATGTCTACGTTGGAGAAAGAACATGACTTCAGGTTTGTTGTTTTAAACGTTATTTGGAATTCAACTGGCATTGCTTGTAAGTTCAATTGCAGTGATTCTCCAGCTGATCTGCTGTTCAAAGTAAAAACGTAATTCATTCGTGAATCGGAAATTATTTTAAAAAAAGAATTGAGAAATAATTACAAAAATAACTAAATTATTGTAAATAAACATAAAATCTGTTGCACTCATAAAATTCTACTTTCGGTCTTACCAGGATTGACACAGGTCAATGAAGTCAGGGAAAATATAACTGGTCAGAGAAAAGTCAGTTTTTATTAAAAGTACTGGAAAAAATTAAATTTTTAGAATTTATAAGAAAATTCTGAATTTTCGTCTTTTTCGTTTGCCTCATAAAGTAATTAAGAAATTACCACGAATTCTAATACGAAGTCTTCAATTTTTTATATTTCTGACAATAATTTCATTTTAAATAACTTAAATCTTGAACAACTATCATAAAATAAATTAATGAGTAATTTTACTTAAATATTTCAAAATTAATCGAATTTTAAAAGAATTGCGTTTACAATATTTATAAATAGATCAACTTCAACGGTTTCAATTTAAATTTAATAAAGTTTCAATTTTGAATGAATTTATAATTAGAAATTTTAAAGAATTTGGCGTTTTGGAAATTGTTAATAATTCAAATTCTTCTGAAATTAGTTACATTTTTTTTAATAAATATTTAATTAATTATTAAAAATAATGGATTTACAAAAAAATTTTAATTGAAAACACTAAAAAAAATTGAATTTTGGAGAAGTTACAAATGATTGAAAAAATTCAATTATTTTCAAAAGTAATAAAATTTTTCGCAGAAATTCAATTATGTTTACAAATTTTTTTAAATTCACGTAAAAATTTCAATTATTTTCAAAAGTAATATTATTCTTCTATGAAATTCAATTATTTTCAAAAATTTTAATAAAATTCTTGGCAAAATTTTAATTATTTTCAAAAATTTTCCTCAATTCAATGATTTTCAATATATCTACTATTTTAATAAAATATGACAAAATAATTTTATTAATATTTTTGAAAATAATTGAATTGCATAGAAGAATAATATTACTTTTGAAAATAATAGAAATTTTTACGTGAATTTAAAAAAATTTGTAAACATAATTGAATTTCTGCGAAGAATTTTATTACTTTTGAAAATAATTGAATTTTTTCAATTTCAATTGAACCTTTAAAACCTTTTTAAATTTCAATTATTTCTAAAAATGCATACAATAATGCTTGTAATATTCAATTATTTATAAATGATCTTAAAATTTAACTAAATTTCATTTTTAAATCAAATTTTTTTTGAAAATTCTACGAGAATTCAATTATTTAAATAAAAAATAATTCCTCGAAATTTTATAAAATTTTTATAAAAATTCGTTGAAAGAATTGAATTATTTAAAAATTTGTTAATAAAATTCTGTATGAGAATTCAATTTTAAGAAACATTCAATTATTCAATAAATTATTTTTTATTTAAATAATTGAATTCTCGTATAGAATTTTCTTAACAAATTGATTTGAAAATGAAATTTAGTTAAATTTTAAGATCATTTATAAATAATTGAATATTAGAAGCATTATTGCATGCATTTTTAGAAATAATTAAAATTTAAAAAGGTTTCAAATTAAAACAGGGTGTCCAGCTACCTTGAAAACCTTAAAAACCATGAAAAGTACTTGAATTTTTTTTTCTTCTTGAAAACCTCGAAAACACCTTGAATTTTATGACAAAACCTTGAAAAATTAAAATTCTTAAAAATGAGATTAATTTCCTTGATGTTTTAAGTTGAAATCTCTTTAATATTTCAATTATCTTTATAAATATAAAAATTCTTAGCCGAAATTCAATTATATTCAGGAACTTTAATAAAATTCTTTGCAAAATACAATTTATTATTTTCATAAATAACAATATTCACCACAAGAATTCAAATATTTTCAAAAATTTTAATAAAATTCATTGCAAAATTTCAATTATTTCCAAAAATTGTTTTAATCAGATTTTAATCAATCAATTATTTTAAAATTTGCCATTAAATTCTTCGCTGTAATTCAATTATTTTCAATAGTAATAAAATTCAATTATTTTCAAAAATTTTAATAAAATTCATTGCAAAATTTCAATTATTTTCAAAAATTTTTCTTAATTCAATAATTTGTATATCAATTATTTTAATAGAAATTCTCAAAAGAATTTAATTATTTAAAAAAAATTTTGATTGATGTTTCTTAAAACGATGTTCTTTATGTTTTTAATATTTTATCAATAAATAATTGTATTTAAAGTTATTTATGAATAACTGTTGTATGTAGAAATTATAAAATTGTTTATAAGTACTCTCTAAATTTGAATTAGTAAAAATGTTTACTAATTTGAATTAGTGATTGACTTTTTACTTTTTAATTAGTAAATTTTACGAAAAACATTAATAGAAATGATTATTTATTACTAATTAAGAAGTAAAAAGTCAATCGCTAATTCAAATTAGTAATCATTTTTAATAATTCAAATTTAGACAGTAAGTAAAAATTTACTTGAAATACACTATTATACTAGATTATAAATAAAAAATATTTTGAAAATTAGTACCCTAAAAATAGACCTTGAAAACCTTGAAAAGTCCTTGAATTTTTTTTTTAAAGAATCGCTGGACACCCTGTAAAATCTTTGAAAATTTGATTTTTTCCTACTTTTAACTGACAATTCTGTAAAATTAATTTTTTTTTGAAAAAGTTTAATTGAATTTTTTTTAAATTACTCTGCTTTACGTTCATATAATGTGAAAATTATCACCTACTAACTCACTTTGTCTAATCAATTACAATTATCATGTTCGCGACTTTTAATTTAAAAATTTCAATTTTTGATTCGTTCATTTTATTATATTTGCAGACTGAGTATGTACGTAAATGATTACGTAACTAATTTTTAATTAGGTGAATATCAGTTTAAATATATTAATTTTTATCATTTTTGTCTTTTGATATGATGATGATGATGATGGTGGTGGTGGTGACGAATGAAGCCTCTAAAATGTCAAAAAAAGAAAATAAATGCGAGCGTCTTATTTACTTTACTATCTTTTAAAATTGATTGAATTTATTCATATTATTATACCTACGTATGGAAGAAAAAATTTTAAAATTAAGTTATTTGAATTAAAGCTATTTGATTTCACTTCAAAATATTTTCTATACGTAATAAATATAATATTAAATACAGTCATCGGAAAGTATGACTTTTTGGACCTTTTTCAACTGTTTTCAAAAAATATGACCTTAATTGACTTATTTATAAAAATACGACTTTTCTTCCAAATATATTTTATTAAATATATTTCTTCACAATGCAATTTTTTTAATATGAAATGCAACTTAATCCATTTCTTATAGTGAGAATAATAACTATAATCAAATCTTTCAAAAATTATTTTTGAATAATATTTTTAAAAAAATTAAATTTTTCAAATATACTATTAACAAGTTTTTAAATAATTGAAATTGTGTAAACTTTTATTAATAAATATTTTATTTTTTAAAATATATATATATATATAATATTAAAATTTACACAAACTAAATTTAGAAGAATTTAAATTACAAATTTTGAAAACGATTCAGTTCTCAAAGAATTTAATTAAAAATGTTAAAATGGAGTTTTGAAAATTAATGAAAAGTAGGTTTAAAAATTACATTAATTTTTTTTAAATAAATTCTTACAAATTGTTCATTATAATTTTTATAATTCAATTATATTCAATTGTATATTTTTGAACATTTAAATAAATGCTAGAAATTTTAAATTAAAATTTTTCCAATACATCTAATTCTTTAAAATTATTATCATTAAAGTTTTGAGAATAATCAATCATTTTTAAAATATTTATTAAAATTCTTCAAAAAATTAACTTTTTAGTAGGTATTTTTCAAAAATTCAATTATTTTTTAAAAAAGTTACTAAATTAAAATAATTTTCATTTTTTGGAAATGTTTCTAAAAAATTGGTTTAAAGAAATTGTTACAAATCTATTATTTTAAATATTATTGGTTTCATATTTTCAATAATTTACCTTAAAAACTTTTTAAAAAACCATGAACAAAATTATTATAAAAATTTTAATCTTTTTCATTAAATAATTTAATTATTGAAGAACTTTCGAAAAATTATTAAAAATTGATTGAGAGATTGATTGATTCAGGGAAGAATTTTAGAAAACAATTTAATTTCTGGAAGAGTTAGAGTTGTTAATATTTGCAAATAAATTAAATTTTAATTCCTGTGGAAAAATAAATAATAAATATTTAAATATTGATGTAACAAAAATTATTGAAGTTTTGAATAATTGAATTTAGAAATTAGTGAAAGGTCAGGGAAATACAAACCTAATTTTTTTGTGACAACACTGAATAAATCAAACGACTTTTTCGCCATTTTTTATAATTTTTGTCGACTAGAAGCCGAGGCGGATGACTGTAAATATAATAATCTAATAAAATTTTAGCAAAATATACAAATAAATATTTTCTTCTTTTTCTAGGGACGAACATTTTGATTTTATGCAACAGTGGATTAGAAGATTTTGTCTGCAATACGGTGCTGGTTTATTTTATACATCAGCGAAGGAAGACAAAAATTGTGATTTACTTTACAAATATCTTACGCACAGAATCTACTCCTTACCATTTAGAACGCCTGCATTGGTCGTTGAAAAAGATGCCGTGCTTATGTAAGATTTTTCATGTTAAATAATTTCTTTTCTAACCTACAATCACTAGAGTTGATATTTAAAAAATATTCAAAAATAAATTGATCTGAATAATTAAGAATTCTTTAAAACTAAAATTATTTTTATAATATATTTCAGAACAAAATAATCCTTTTTTATTTTTAAATTGGTCAACAGGATCTCGAGAAATTTGTTTTTTAACCAACTAAAAACTTTTAAATGTTAATAACTTTGACAAAAAGTTTTGTTTGATTCAAAAATTTTAGAAATTTATTTTGATCACATTAAGAGTAGAATAATTATTTAATCTAAATTAAAATGAATTTAATTTTTAGAAACTACAAGCAAAATTATTGAATGTTGAAAATTAAATTTTTTTTTGCCCGTTTGAAAAATTCTGACACAAATTTATTTTGTTCTTTTCGCAGACCTGCGGGTTGGGATAACTTGAAGAAAATCAGTATTCTTCATGAAAATCTGCAGTCTATGAAGCCGGAAGATTATTATCGAAATGTTATCGTACAACCACCTACAAATAGAAAAGTACGACAAACTTTTCAATACTTTACATATTTTCTCAATATGTTAATATGTTGAGGTACAGAGTTGTTTTTAGTAATGAAAATTCTTCGTTTTGAAGGAAGTGAAAAAGGGAAAAATTTTGGTATATTTTTCTATTTCATTACAAATTATTTTCAGTTTAGTCTGTACTTTTTTAAATATATTTTTAAAAAATTATATACAGAATAACAGGGATACCACAGGTCAGGAAAATAACTTAATTCTTGAGAAACTATCATAAAATTATTACTTATAAACTATTTAATGAATAATTATACTTAAATATTTCAAAATTAATTGAATTTTAAAAGAGTTTCGTTTACAATTTCCATAAATAAATCAACTTCAAAAGGCTTTAATTTAAAAATTAATTCAATTTTCAATGAATTTAATTAAAAATTTTAAAGTACTTAGGTTTTTAAAAAAATTTAATAATACAAACTTTTCTGAAATTGGTTAAATTTTTTAATATATATATTTAATTAATTATTAAAAGTAATAGAATTATAGAAGAATTTTTAATTAAATACACTAAAGATAATTATTGAATTTTGGAGAATATACAAATATTTCCAAAAATCTTCCTCAATTCAATAATTTTCAATATCTACCATTTTAAATAAAATTTCACAGAAATATAATTATTTACAAATTTCTTTTATTTTCTTTGCATTAATTAGATTATTTTTAAAAATTTTGATTAAATTCTTTATGAGAATTGAAATATTTTCAATACAATTTTCAATAAATTCCTACAGAAAAATTCAAATATTTTCGAAAATTTTATTCAAATTCTTCGCATAAATCAAATTATCTTTTTAATTTATATAATTTTTAACAGGAATTTAATTATTTTTAAGAATTTTTAGAAAATTCTTTACAAAAGTTTTTTTATTTTGAAAAATTTCAGTATATCTCTTTAAAAAGAATGTAATTAAATAAACTTACAAAAAATTTCATTTTTCGCAAGAAATTGAATTATTTTTAAAAATTTGGATAAATTTCTTTATAAGAATTCAATTCTTTCAGATTCAAAATTATAAAAGAAATTTACAAATTTTTTAAAAATTTCTTTGCAATAATTCAATTATTTTTATACATAAAAAAATTTTTTGCAAGGATTCAATCATTTTACTAAATTATAAAATTCTTTTTAGGAATTTTTCGAGTTTTATACTCATTGCAGAATTCAATTTTAAAAAACTTTCAATTATTCAATAAAATATTATTTATTTTTGTATTTAAATAATTGAATTCTCGTAGAATTTTCTATTAAAAATTGATTTAAAAATTAATTTCAGCTAAAATTTTAAATAATAATTGAATATTAAAAGTGTCGAATTTTTAGAAATAATTGAACTTTAAATTCAATTATTATCTAATTTACTAATTAATTATTCTTGTTTATTAATTTCAAAAATTTTATTAGTAAAAATTCTTTGCAAAAACTCAATGATTTTTAATAAATACAATTTTAATAAGATTTCATGAAAAAATTTAATTTAAAAAAAATTTTTAATAATATTTTTCGAAAAATTCAATTAATTTTATAAATAGTAAAATTCTTTGCAAAAATTCAATTATTTTTGAAAACATTTTAGGAAAGAATTCAATTATTTTCTTAATTCGTTATAAAATATTTCAGTAGAGTTCAATTATTTTCTAAAATTTCAATAAATCCTTCGAAACAATTCAATTATATTTATAAACAGTAAAATTTTTTGAAAAAATTCAATTATTTTTAATACAATTTTAATAAAATTTCATGGAAGAATTCAATATTTTAAAAAAATTTTAATAACATTTTTCGAAAAAATTCAATTATTTTCTAAAATTTTAATAAACCCTTCGAAACAATTCAATTTTATTTATAAATAGTAAAATTCTTTGCAGAAATTCAATTATTTTTAATACAATTTTAATAAAATTTCACGAAACAATTCAATTATTTTCGAAAACTTTAATAAAATTCTTCAAGTGAATTCAATTATTTTCCTAAATAATAAAATTCTTTGAAGAAATTCTATTGTTATCAAATTTTTTGATAAAATTCTTTGCAAAATTCAATTATTTAAAAAACTTTAATAAAATTCTTCAAGAGAATTGAATTATTTTCCTAAATAATAAAATTCTTCGATGGAATTCTATTATTGTTAAATTTTTTGATAAAATTCTTTGCAACAATTTGATGATTTTCAATGCAATAATTTTAAAATTGAAAAGATTTAAAAAGAAGAATTATTAAAAACAGTTAGAAAACAAAGTAGCAAACAACTAATTTATTAATATAGAGAAGATAATTGATTTAAAGAAAGTGAAAATTTTATCTAAAAATCAGGGGAAAAGAAAATTAAATTTTTGTGTCAAACATGAATAAAAATAAAAATAGATTAATAAAAAGGTGAAATTTAATTTTCAGTGCGTAACGCGAGAGGTGGAAATTCAAGCCGAAGATGAACAAGTGTTTTTGGCGAAGCAACAAGCAGCTTTGTCTGGAATGAAAGATCCAACACGATCGCCAACGACGAGGAACCAGGCAAGCATAGGACCAATCGTTCAGGTCATATCCATTATAATTAAAGCATGTTTTCGACATTTGTGCCTAACGAATATCATCGTTTTTGATTTGGCGCTGTCTAATTGTTTTTTTGTGCTCGTACGGCAAGCTAATGACGTGTATATCCATTTTTCCATAGCCCGCTTGTGATATATTTAACGACCTTTTAATCGTAACTAAAACTCCTTTTAAACGTCTGGTACCTTAATTACAATTTTAATTAAATCTCCAGCCCCCTCTATAAAACCCCCGCCCCCGCTGAAAATGTGTCTTCATTATTGTGTTTTCATTCAGTGTTTTGTATATATATGTTTGTAAAATCCTTAATGTTTCTAATGGCAAGTTCTTATGCAAGATTAACTTCATTCGTATAATAGCTCATTTTTTATTTACAATTTAATTATCTGTCGAGAATTTCAAAGGCTTTTTTAATTAAGAATTATTTAAGTACCTTCTGCAAATGCAAGTTTAACAATTGTTTCATATTTACAATATTTCCTGGTAGTTTGTTTTTTTTAAAGACTTTTGTCTCATTTCTAAACTCATAAAATCATAACTAAACTGAAGTTGAAATTCAAGTTTTTAAAATTCTGAGTTGTCACAGGTCAGGGAAAGTAAAATTGGTCAGGGATTTTTAGTAAAAGTACTGTAAAAAATGGAATTTTAAAAATTCATAACAAAACTCTGAATTTTGATGTTTTTTTTTGTTTGCCTCGTACACTATTAAATTACCACGAATTTTAATACAAAACCTTGAATTTTTTCTATTTCAGACAATAATTTCTTTTTAAATAACTTAATTTTACAAGAACTATCATTAAATTATTACTTATAAATTATTTAATGAATCATTTTTACAATTTTCATAAATACTAGATTAATAAAAGAATTTTAGTTAAAAATGCTAAAAAAATTGAATTTTGGAAAAGTTACAAATAATCCCAGAAATTCAATTATTTTCAAAAGTCATAAAATTTTTCGCAGAAATTCAATTATATTCAAAAATTAAAAAAAATTCTCGTCAGCATTTCAATTATCTTTATAAATAATAAAATTCTTCTTCAAAATTCAATTATTTTTAAAAACTTGAATAAAATTCTTGTTAAAATTTTACAGAAATTCAATAATTTATAAAAATTTTTAATAAATTTCTTTTGAAATAATTCAATTATTTTCATAAATAATAAAATTTTCACATATGAGTTCAATTATTTAATATACAAAATTTCATACAATTTTTCGAAAAATATCAATTTTATAAAAAGATTTTTATAAAATTCGTCGCATGAATTCAATTATTTAAAAAAAATTTAACAAAGTTCTTTTCAAGTATTCAATTATTTTTATAAATAATAAAATTCTTCACCGAAATTCAATTATTTTAGAAAAATTTTAATAACATTTTTGTAAAAATTTTTAATTATTTTCATAAATAATAAAACTTATCGCAGGATTTTAATTAATTTTTGATACAATTCCTCGAAAAATGTAATTATTCTTAAAAATTTTATTAAAATTTGCCAAAAGAATTCAATTATTTAAAAATTTGTTGATAAAATTCATTATGAGAATTCAATTAAAAAATGAATTACCGAATAATCGATTTATTATTTATGAAAATAATTGAATTATTGCAATGAATTTTATTACAATTTTTTCAAATAATTGAATTTTTTTGAGAAAATTTACTACTTTTAAAAATAATTGAATTCTTGCGAAGGATTTTATTAGGATTTTTGTAAATAATTAAATATTTTTTTTTTTAAATTTCGTGGTAATTGAAATTATAACAAAACATGAAGAAGGTGATCTCCGAGTCTTCGACTGGGAGTGATCGCCTTCTTTATATTTTGTAATAACATTCTTATAAATTGTTGAATTTTAAAAAGACTTGAATTTAAATGTTTTGAAGAATTTTAATTTCTACGGAAAAATAATAATGATTAAATATTAATTTTATTTAAAAAAGAAGTTATTGATGTTTTTGAATAATTTTACAATTTATGAAATTTGTAAATAAATGTAATAGAACATTTTTTTGAGTATCTAATAATTTTTAGAGTGAATCAGAATATTTTTTAGGGTCAGGGAAAAGTGAGAATTTTGTCTGGAAATCAGGGAAAAGTCTGGGAAAAATAAAATTAAATATTTGTGGCAACCCTGAAATGAAAATAAAATTTTTAATTTACATTCAGATTTTTGTTTACTTTTATAATCAAATTGAAGTTATAAAATTGCATTGAAATAGAATAATTACTGGAGTTAAAAATCTCTGAAAATAAATTTAAAATTAACTAATGTTAATCAAATGTAAAAAAAATTTACATTTAACGTTTTTAACCACTAACAATACAAAGTTTTATTACCAAAATTTAATTTTTGGTGCAGATACTTTCTGGAAAATGGAAAATCTCTTCTAAAACTGTTAAAATGATTAATTACCAAAAAGACATTACAAATAGAATGTAATTAGATTCTGGTTATTTATTTTTTAATATTATTTTCATTAATATTTTGTTTGTTAATATTATTATTATTTGTTAATATTATTTATATTTTTATAATATTACTATTATTATTTGAGAAGAGAAACCAATGAAATTTTAACCAATTTAAAATTTTAGTAATCAATTTTAGGCGATCAATTTCTTTTCTAACAATTTTAAGTATTTAAATTATAAAACAATTAATCACTTCACACTTTTTTTAAACAAAACGTGAATTTTTGAAAAAATGATAATTTGAACTTCCCTTGTAATTTTGATTATTTTTCATTGTCGATTTTTTTAAACATTTCTTTCATGATTCCAAATAATCCATCGAATGGATTTTCAAAAGTTTTTAATGGCAAAAAAACTTTGATAAAAAAATATATAAAACTTAGAAAATTGTAAAAAATAATTTTATGGAAATTACTAAATAATAAAATAATAATAAGAATTATAAGAATAAAAATAAGAATAATAAGAATAAAAATAATAATAATATAATAATAATAATTTAGCGAAAACTTAACTTTTTATTTAAAATAAAAAATAAATTCAAATTTCTTTAGATTCAAAATATATGATTCATTGGCAAACGGGAAAATCGAGTTATTTTGAAATGATTAAAAATGAAAAATGATAATACAAAGGATAAATTTTGATGAAGATAAAAAAGATGAATGTTTTAGATGAAAGCATCCTCATCATCATTCGAAAGCATGCTTTATTTTATGTGGAATGGCCAAAATTAAAAAAAATCGTGATCTTACATATATTCGGTATTAATAATATAGGTGGCTTCTCCCAATAAAAAGTTGGATTCGAAAGGAGCCGGAAATACTCCATCGGGTGAAGGAGTCTTAGCAAGTTTCTTTAATTCTTTATTATATAAGAAAACTGGCTCCTCACCCGGTCCACCACCAGGCTCTCCAGGAAACGCTGGTACCAGTCCCATTAAAGTCGGTAAGTTCATCATTTTATTTACATAAATATTCTTCAGATAATGTTGATAAAATCATTTTGATCAAGTGAACCTTGCACCTCAAGCAGAAAGATTTATTTTCAAAAAATACATTTTTTACGATTTATTTTAATAAAACATGAACAGGGCTCGAAACAGTGACAGTATTTAAAAATACGAACTTTATGGACCAAAAATGAAAAATTACGGACCAACTACTGACAAAAATATAACCAGTCCGAGTCAAATAAGAGAACATTTTACTTAAAACAAATTAAATTTTTCATAACTATAAAACAAGACAGAGTGTTAAAATCAATTCAATTATTATTTTCAAGAATTTTTAACAAAAATTCTTCATTAAATCGATTAATTTTAATAATTTTCGAAAAAATATTTTGCGAATTTTCAAATCTATTTGTTTACAATATTCAATTTTACGAAATTTAAATTATTCGTAAATTCTTCAAATAAAAATTTAAAATAATATAGAAAATTCAATTAAAATTTTAAAAAAAAATTAATTTCAAAATTCAATTATTTCTAAAAATTCACGCTACTTGCTTTTAATATTCAATTATTATCTAAAATTTTAACTAAAATTCAATTTTAAAATCATTTTTATTAAAAAATTCTACTAGAATTCAATTATTTAAATGTAAAACTAAATAATTGAATGTTTCTTAAAATTCAATTCCCATAAAGTATTTTATAAACAAATTTTTAAATAATTTAATTCTTTCGACGAATTTTAATAAAATTTTTAAGAATAATTACAATTTTCGAAAAATTTGATTAAAATTGTATTAAAAATGATATTGAAATTCAGCGATGAGTTTTATTATTTGTGAAAATAATTTAATCCCTAAGACGAATTTTATTATTTTTAAACAATATTTAATTTTTGCGAATAATATTATTACCACTCTTGAAAATAATTGAATTTCTGCAAAAATTTGTAACTTTTCATTTCTAATTAAAATTTTTTTTTTGGTGTTTTTAACTAAAATGCTCTAACGCTTTTAATATTCAATTATAATCTAAAATTTTAACTGAAATCCATTTTATAATCAATTTTTATTAAAAAAATTCTACTAGAATTCAATTACCGAAGAGAATAAAAATATTAAAATTTTTGTTTAAAAAAATTATTAATTACGTTATTTTTCTATAAAAAATTTTCAAGTTTTGAATAATTTTATTTAAAAATTTTAAAAAAACAAATTGAATTTTGAAAGAATTATTGTTGCAATTTTTAGAAATAAATAATTATTTTATGAATTATTAATTTTTTTATTTCAATAATTGAATTCTCGATACTTGAATTCTAATAATAAGAGTTAATTTAAAAAAGAATTTAAATTATAAATAATTATTCTGAATAGTAAATTAGGTTTTTGAAAAATAGTAATTACAACCTTTTGAAGATATACTTGAATTCTCAAAAATAATTGTAAAATAATTGAAACATTTGAAAATTTTGTTAAATTTCATTTAAATAAATTTTGTATTTTAATGAATTTTATTTGTTTCCTTTTAAAAATTATTTTAAAATTCTCATTAAAAATTCGGAAAATATAATTGAATTTTAAAAAAATTTAGAAATAAACTTCTAATCAGGATTGTTCCAGTGGAACTTGAAAGTTCAATTTTTTAATCAAAAATATCTTACGTGTAAGTTGTTAGAAATATCTTGGCTATTTCTATAAAAAGAGTAGTTCGAATAATTAAATTAAACAATTTTTTAATAAAAATTTAACAGAAAAACTGTTAGAAAAGTTATATTTCTTTAAAAAATGAAGAATTTTTATTAAATTTCAAAAAGAAAATATTGTAAAGTAACGATGGTAATGAAAATTTCACGCGCGCGTATAGTTTTGCTAGTTGAAAATTTTTGAAAAGAAAAATTATTTAAAAAGTTAGGAAACAAAAAAAGATAAACAACAACTAACTTCAAGAGCTACAAACAGATTTCCGGAATACAATGATTATTAATATATAGAAGATTAAAACTGCAATTCGTTCAATTCTTGAAATATTTTCTAAAATTTGAATTAAAATTCTTTTTCAAATTAATTCTTATCAAAAAGTTGTGCGAGAATTCAATTATTTAAATACAAAAATAGGTAAAAAATAATTTATTATTTCTAAAAATTGTATCTGTAAGTATACACTTATAGAGTTTTTTAATTTCAGAAAGAAAATTCATAATTAAAATGGATGGTCAGGAATATAATGATAACAATGGAAATTCTTCAGGTCAAATATTATAAATTTATTTAAACAAAAAGTAATTCCTTTTATACAATAAGTTACAATTGAAAATTCAAAATATAATAATAAAATATTATTATATTACTAACAAAGAATTTTTTATACATGAAATTTATTCTTTCATTAATTTAATGTCAAAGCTAAATTTTTTTTTAATATTAAATTTTAGTCATTAAATGATACAATATATCACATTTTAATTCATAAAACTAAATATGTTCTTATGGACACATTAGATTAATAAAATTAAATTAATAAATAAAACATTTATGTATTACAAAATTTGTTCTTAAAATTATTTGAAGTGTTGGCCATCTACTTTAAAAATACAAAAAAATAGAAAATATTTCTAAGTTCGACATGAAGCAAACAAATATTTCAAAGTTGAACAAGAAGGTCTTATCAGGTGTTAATGGGAACTTCTTTCAATTTTTGGTATATGTGGCATTAAATAGATCGGTCTTGGCAGGCCCTAACTAGGACTATAGCAACTGTAATTTGGAGTCATGGTGTCTAAGAGTATTAAAATCCATGTAATAAGTACTAAGACGAACCTACAGATTTTTAAAGAATTTTGTCATAGTGCCTAAGATTACTAAAATCGATCTTAGAACAACTTAAAAGCCTTTAAGTCGAATTTATAGGTTTTAATAGTAGTAAAGCAAAACTAAATACTCCTTATTAGGTCTTAAATCTACTTTAAATTTCGACTCGGGACGTTCGTAATTGAGACCCTTTCCTATTCTAAATAGTCCTCACGCTAATCATTCTCTTACATAATTTTCAATAATTTGATACTTTTTTAATACTTTGGATAAAATTTTCTTACTTTACTATCCTGTGAAAATTCTGTTATTGTAAAAATACTACAGAAATTAATTTCACTAAAACACTAATCACAAAAATCACAAAAAATGTGTTTCTTCAATTTTCTAATCTGAATCTAGCATATAAGTTATACACTCTGTTACTAAAATTTCCTGTCAATATTTCAAATAGAAAGCTGATTATTGAAATGGAGTATCCAATGCCTAATACATAAGATATTATGAAAAATAGTTTTTCCTTTTTAATCTCTTCTGGCGGTGATATTTTTCCAGGCAGTGCGCTATTTACAGAATAAGCTGAATTAAACAATCCAAAATCTGTGGCTCTTTGAATTATTTTATTGTAAAAATCTGTGAAAGGTTCATTTGTCATCGATTTCCAGAGGTAAAAATGATAGGCAACAATTTCTGACAATATTTTAACATTAAACTCTTCTCCTCTCGATGATGCATATGCATTAACTTGATTTTCAGCATCAGGAATAATACAGCTTATGTTTTTAAATCTTGACAAATATTCTAAGCAGTGTTTCCCACTCATCAGATATTCCTTTCTTTTGAATCTTGAAGCTTTAGGTAATAGCTTTTTAACAACAGAATCGTTATTTAATTTGTTTATTTGAATGCAAGTAAACAGATCCATTGGCAGTATTAAAGACGATTCAGCTAATTCTTCCAAAGTCGAAATTTCAGGTGCCGTCTGTAGATTAATGTCCAAAATTACTGAATAGATGAAACCTGTGTAAACAATGCATGCAATCAATAAAGAACCGAATACAATTCTTTCTAACCCGTTATTTGGTTCTTGATTTGCAGGCATTCCAATTATAATTTGACTGATGTTTAAAAATTGCCATGTAGTCCTATCAAAATTCAAGAAAAAAGCTACCAGCAGAATGATGACAATCGTACAAAGTGTTACTATTGTCATGTGTAAAAATTCTGTTGAAACAACTACGTCTTTTGTAATCTTTTCCATTCTTGGAATTACAGCTTTTAGGGTACCAATTTCTTGCAATCGTAACACCTGAGCATAAAAAGGGACTATATAGGTGATTTGCAAATCGGCTCTTAAAACTGGTGGATTGTAAGATGCTTGTTTTTGTGTAAGTTTAGAATTCATTGCTCGAGAAAAAATTTCTATAGTCCTTTTTTCCATCCACAGTACTTTTTCAGGATCTTGATTATGATTATAAGCTACGAAATTAAAATCAATTTCCTGACCTTTTAGATCGTTTAATTTATTCGGAAACCATTGAGTGTTAGGTGTTATCTCCTGAACAGTGAAAGTTTCCATAAAAGGATTTATATAACTCAAAAAAGGTTCAACTTGGTGTTTTTCATTGTACGTCATGATTGTCGTGTCCAAATAACTCCATTTCCAGAAGATATACAAAGTACTGTTAAGATATTCATGAGTTGAATTAAAAGAATTCATAATTAAACATCTTGGTAGTGCCAAACCTTCCCAAATCTTTATCCTTTTGATGTATTTTTCAATTGAATACATTGTGTTATTGTTGTTTACTTGGAAAACAAATAGAGTCGATCTTCTGTAATGCATTCCATAATGATTTATTTCTTCATAGAGTCTACAAAGGAAAGAAGTAAAAAATCATTAATTACTTAGAAAAATTTGATCTTATGATTTTTGACGTAAAAGGAGAGTCTTTTGCAAATTTTATCATAATGTTTTTTATCTCAAAATTAACAAGATAATTATTTAACTTATATACCTTTTTTGCCAAATTAAAATTTTATCGTAGTTGCTGATGAAAGATGGAAAATGTTGATTGACATTTTTTAGTAGCGAATTCATCATTGGATCTGTATTTTCAAATTGATCTTCAAGAATAAACACAACCCGGTACAATTTAGATTCGTTGATCAGATAATTTACCAATCCATCGAAGTAATCTGTTGTTGCAGGTTTTTCTAAACTGATTGTTGGACGTTCTGCAAGAATTTCCTTCCACAAAATACAAATAAAAAAGTATATTTCACTTAACTTCATTCTTGACAACCACTTTCTATGACTGACAAAAAGTGACTGCTTGAGTGCCAAACAAAAAATGAAAATACTGTTTTTAGTGGATTATTTTTATTGAATTAAATGAAATTAGATTGAATTAAATTAAATTCATGTTCAAAATGATTAACTCTTCATTTCTAAAGTGTCTTTCATGATAAGTGTTTGTTAATACGATTTCCAACAATTTACTCGAAAAACTCGAAGGGTACCTTAAGTGCACAATATTGTATTGCTTATAGATTTTTTGTTATTGGCCTTTAATCATGGACAATTATTATTAAAAGTGTGTTGCGTGTTTACAGCTGATTGCTCTCAATATTAGACATACAATTCTTATATTTCTTTTACATTTACATAATTGTATATGAAATGAATTTAATATTGGAGTAAAAAAATGTAATTGAGAATTCATTTTTTCCATCCTTTTTATTGGAAAAGTTGAGTTTTTTCCAATAAATTACTTAACAATAGATAAAAAATTAAAAAATTATGTAGGTAATAATAAATATTTTTTAAAAACCACCCCCTTTTCATATTTGTAATTATTTTCATTGGATTTAAAATTTTGATACTTTTTTTTAAGATTTGAGTCACTAAAAAGCTTTTACTTTTACTTTTACTTTTTTTTTTTTTTTACTTTTTACTTTTACTTTTTAGCTTTTACTTTCTCTACTTCTTGAAAATTTACACTACCTTAAATCCGCTAATAGTTACTTAATCTTTAACTTCCGAGATTTTTGATAAAACAAGGTAAATAAAACGAAAACATTCGGTCAATACAAATATTTATTTTCTTTAAAATGACAATAAACTCTGTTATTTTTTATCCAATTATTTCCACAAATAATAAAATTCTTTGCTAGAATTCAATCATTTTAATAAATAATACCTATATTTCGAAAAAATTAATTATTTAAAACAATGTTTATAAAATTCTTATGTAGAAAGAATTACAATTACTATCAAAATTAACAAAACTTTTCACAGAAATTCAATTCTTTTTAAACACTTTAATAAAATTTTTCGCAATAATTCAATTATTTTCGTAAATAATAAAATTCTTCTCAGGCTTTCAATTATTTTTAATACAATTTTACAGAAATTGCTTTTTGGAAGAATTCAATTATTTACAAAAATATTAGAATTTTTCACAGGAATTCAATTATTTTCAAATATTTTAATATAATTCTTCCCAAGAATTCAATTATTTACATAAATAATGCTTCCCAAGAATTCAATTATTAAAGATAAATAACAAAATTATTACGAAAATTCTATTTGAGGCATTTTAATAAAATTATTTGCAAAATTCAATTATTTTTATAAAAGAAAAATTGAATTTTTTTCACAATTAAAAATTTCCACAAGAATTTAATTATTTTAAATAAAATTTCCATAACATTTATTATATTCGAAAAAATTAATTATTCAAAGCAATGTTTAGAAAATCCTGAAGAAGAATTCAATTATTTTAAAAAATAACAAAATTTTCACAAGAAATTCAATTCTTTTTAAACATTTTAATAAAATTTTTCGCTACAATTTAATTATTTTCATAAATAATAAAATTCTTTTAAGGAAATTAATAATTTTGGAAAATTTTTTAAAAATTTTAGCAACTATTTATAATTATTATTTTCATAAATGATAAAATTCATCGCAGGATTTCAATTATTTTTAATACAATTTTACAAAAATTGCTTGAAAAATTTAATTATTCTTAAAAATTTAATTTCAATTCCTTGAGAATATCAATTATTTAAAAAATATTTTTTTTTCAATTCATTGGAAGAATTCTATAATTTACAAAAATATTAAAATTTTTCGTAGGAATTAATTTATTTTCAAATATTTTAATAAAATTGTTCGAAAGAAAACAATTATTTTAAATTAAATACAATTTTAATTAAATTTTTTTGAAATAATTCAATTATTCTTTTGGAATTTAATACAATTTTTTTCCAAGAATTCAATTATTTACATAAATAATTATTCAAAAGAATTCAATTATGTTGATAAATGACCAAATTATTCCCAAAAATTCAATTATTTTGAGGCAATTTAATAAAACTCTTTGCAAAATTCAATTATTTTCATAAACAACAATATTCGTCACAAGAATTCAATTATTTTCATAAATAATAAAATGCTTTTTAGAAATTCAATTATATTAAAAAAAAATTGATAAAATACCACACATACATTCAATTATTGTCAAAAATTTTAATAGACTTCTTTGTAAAATTTAATTATTTTTTAAAACTTTTCGCAATTCAATGATTTTCAATATCTACTATTTTCATAAAATTTCCAAACAGAATTCAATTATTAAAAAAATTTTTTGTAAAAATCTTCTAAAGAATTCAATTATTTTCATGAATAATAAAAATTTCTCAGGAATTCAATTATTTAAATTACAAATATTATAAATATTTTAATTCTTTGATGAATAATAAAAGTCGTTGCAGAAATTCAATTTATTAGCAGGATAAGAAAGAAGTAAATATTTTTGATGAAAATTAGGAAAAAGTTAGGAAAATAAAAAATATGGAATGGAATTTTTGTTAGTTTTGTGAAGTCAAGTTTAATTTTTCGATAGCTACTTTTTTACTACTTTTTTTAGGTTGAAGCCTACTTTTTTAAAATTAATTATCGAGTGCAAAGTCTGGATATCTAAATTCTCAAAAATAATTATTTTGAAGAATATTCAAATAATTCTAATTTCGTAAATTTTGATTGAAAAATTTAAAAATAATTGAGTTTCACGAAGAGTAAAAATTGAATTTATTATATCGGGATCAGAGAATAAGTTAAAGTGCTTTTTTGAAAAATCAGAAAAAATTCAGGGAAAAACAAAGTCAAATTTTTATGACAACCGTGTCAACGGTTTATTCTCCTTGTTGACAAAATTTCACCAGTTTTATTGACTTTCCTATTATTGGTATAGAAGTTCATCCTCCAATCATCCGAAAATAAAAATTGATCCTTTTTTTTTTTAAATTTTCAGATGGAATTGGAGTGGACAAAACAGCAATGCGAAACGATGCAGCTGCAGAATTGGATCGCATTACCAGAACCAAAAAAATACCACCGGCCGATTTAAATTCATCGTCTGAGTGTTGAACTAGCACAACTTAATTTTTGTGTCACAGCTGTATATCGAATCATCTTCACGCGGATTTCAAATCCCGTGAAAAGTTGAGCATAATTTAATAGTCTAACTAGACCGAATTTATCGTCGTGTCGCTCTTTAAATTATTAATTGAGGGTCAGTGCAAAAAAGATGATCAACGTACCACGTCTCGACAAAAAAAGTTAGAAAGCCTAGGTTTTTTTTTTAATTTTTTTTTTTAATTCAATTTTATGAAAGGATTTACAGATTAGTGTGGTACTTAAATCCAAAACAAATTATTTATTTATCGTTTTCAGTGTTAAACCGCAGTGGACAATAATAACTCCTTTTGTTGCACCACTTTACTAACTATTTTTCATTATTTTACCGGCTCATGAAATAAAGCGATATTTTTTCAAACAATTTTATGATTTTTAAAACTTAGATTGCTCCTTACTATTTCATTCTATTCACTCTCGTTCATTTATCAAAATATTGAGATTATTTAAAATTATTTAAACATTTGAATATAGTCAGTTGTTAACAAAATTCAATTGTTCGATCCTTATATTTAATAATTTAATTATTTAAATATTAAATTATTTATACCTTTGATAATTACGATCTCCGATTGTTTATAATTGGAATTTCGATAAAAGACGACAAGATGGTGATTTTTTTCTTTTTTAAAAAAATGTCTTCTTTACATTGAAAGTGTACGCTGATAATAATTTATTTAGCAACGAAGAAAATATCCCCGAGATTTTTGCATTTGATTTATATAGAATAATATGAATATTTATATCGCTTGTTTTTGATACATTTGTTTTGCAATAAGGTTGTGTTGTTAGCGTCGTGGCATGATTTTTCACTTACCGGCACGAACTAGTATTAAATGTAAACGAAAGTGGAGAAACAAAAATATATATAAATGAAAAATATTAAGAAAAGTTTTTAAAGAAAAATGTAACTCGCTGTATAATCTATTTTAATACATGTTTTTGATGATATGATGAGAAAAAAAAAGAAGAACAAAACATTGTTATTGAGGAATTAAAATAACGATGGATTTGACGTAAAAATATTATGCTAATTCATATCTCTTGGCTGAATTTTGTAACGATATAAAGTACAGTGCTTGGAGTTTGGTCTTTTATATATCATCTTAAACTTGGAGCATTTTTTCTACAATTGCAATACAAATAAAATACGTCTTTGCTTTTTGTAAAGGAAATGTTTTGCGATGTTGCAAATGCTTTGCAATATTGATAGCATTGATTCTTGCGATTAATTATTAGTAATGCAATTGAAGTGATATGAGGCTCAATATCAAACTTTACATTAATGCCTCTCACGTTCGTTTACTTCGACAAAAAATCGGCTGTATATACAAAATAGTAAATAACATTATACAATAATTTCTTGAATAAAGTCATTTTTTTACATAACTGTCAATGTATACCGTATATTTTAAGGGAACCTTTTTTAGAAATATTATTAATCACAAACTAAAACCGAATAAAGAAAGCGTTAATCACGTTTTCTTTTCAACATTTATAAAAAATAAGTTTTTTAATTTTTTCTTTTTACTTCGTGGATTAGGTCTATAATATAGACATTAAATAGAATTTGGATAGACTACAGATTTTTTCGATCTTTTACTATTTAATTTGATAAAATGCGACTTTCTCGACTATTCTTTCACAAATTACAACAAAATACCAGTTTTCTAGTATAAAATGCAACTTATTTCGATTTTAGAGTGAAAAATAACTAAAGACAAAAAAGTAAAGAGTAACTGATGCAACTTGCAAGCCTTTTAGCGAATAAAACAGGTTTTTGTTCTCACTGTAAAAAAAATATTGAAAAAATTAAAATGTTTGAAAAATTGAATTTTTCATACTTTTAACTGAAAATTCTGTAGAATTAATTTTGTTAAAAAAGTTTAATTGAATTTTTATTTACTTTTGCAAAAAATTATTAAAAATAATTGATAATTGAATTCTTTCGAAGAATTTTGATAATATTTTTGAAAACAGTTACATTTTTTGAAGAATTAAAATTGTATTAAAAATTATTGAATTACTATGAAAAATTGTGTAAATTATGAAAATAATTGACTTCTTACAACAAATTTTATTACAATTTTTGAAATAATTGAATTCATGTGAAAAATGTTATTACTCGTAAAAATAATTGAATTCTTGCGAAGTATTTTATTAAAATTTTTGTAAATAATTTAATTTTTTTGGAAAAATTTTACCGAAATTTAAATTATTAAACATGAAGAAACGGATCTTATCTTCCGAATCTTCGACTCGGTGTGGTCGATATCTTCTTGTTTTCTATAATAATATTCTTATAAGTTGTTAAATTTCAAAATGTTTGAATTTAAAATTTTTGAAAATCTTAATTACTATGAAAAAATAATAATAATGATTAAATATTTATTTAAAAAGAAGATTTATGTTTTAAAATAATTTTATAATTAAAGAAATTAGTAAATAAATGTAATAGAACATTTTTTTGAGTATTTAATTATTTTTTGACTGAATCACAATATTCTTTAGGGTCAGGGAAAAAGTAAAAAATGTTGTCTGGAAATCAGGAAAAAGTCAATAAAAAAATTCTCTTTCTGAGAAATTTCAATTACACTATTTGAAAATACTTAAAGAAATGATTTTTCGAAAAAATTTAACAAAAATTCTGAAAAATTAATTTTTTAAAATATTCTATTCTTTTTTTTTATAAATATAGTTGAATTCTTAAGAAGAAGTATTTGAAAATTTTTGAAATAATGAAAATTTCCCGAATTTCTAGGTTTTAAAACTAATTGAATTTTTAAACATTTAGAAATAATTAAAAATCAACGATTTGAAATTTTGAAAAACTTTAGTTTCTGTAGAGAAGTAAATATTAATAAGTGTTTAAATATTAATTTATTTAGCAAATTTATTAAAGTTTTGAATAATTTATTTTAGATATTCTGGTTTTTGAAGAATTTTAATTTAATTTCTTTAAAATTCTTAAATTTTCTTAAAAATTTTATTATTGAATTAAAATTTACTAAAATTGAATTGAAAAAAAAATTAAATCTCTTTAAAAATAATTTACGAATTTTTTTAACAAATTTAATTTTTGCAATTCAATTTCACTAAATTTTAATTCAATTAAATTACTTTAAAAATCATTTATGAAATTTTTCAACATATTTAATTTTTTCAATTCAATTTCACTAAATTTTAATTTAATTAAAAAATTGTTAGCAAACTTTAGGAATCTTTAAAAAATTGAATAAAATTAAATAAATAAAAACGAATTTCAAAAAAATTTTAATTAAATAATTGATAAATAATTGAATTTTACAAAGAGTCTCCAATCGAATATATTCATCTGTTTGTGAATAATGTAATTCTGAAGGAGTTACAATTAGATAATTAAAAAAAAATTTATACATTTTAAATTTTTGTTTAAAAATTGAATTTTCGAAAAATTTTATTTAAAATCTTGAAAAATTTGGGTTTTAAAATATTTCTATTCTTTTATTAAAAATAATTGAATTTTCACAAACAAGTAATTAATAATTTTAAAAATAATTGAAATTTCAAAAAATTCGATTAAAAGTAATTGAATCTTTTTAAAAGTAATTTATAGAAAGTTTTGAAAATAATGAAAAGAAGTTCAACTCAACATAATTAATTAAAAAATTTTTTTTTAATTTACTTTTATTTTTAATTTTAATTTTTAATTAAATATTTTTAAAATATAGGTAGACATTGTTAAAGTTTTAAATTGAATTTTTGTTTCTAAAAAAGTTCAAATTCTGTCTAGAAATCAGGAAAAAGTAAAAAAAAAAGGAATACAATTTTTTTTATAAAACTTCTTTCAGCCTATCGTTCTGGAATTATTGTGGAATAAGAAAGTGAAGTGGACATTGGAAGAAATTATATTAAGCAATAATTTTCACAACACATAAATCTTTTTTATGGGAATTTTATTTTTGTTAAATAAATCATATTAAAAAAAGATTGTGGAACCCACATGTACCACTTGTTTTTTTAAATAGCGCCTGCGCAAGTATCTGAAGTTCCGAAAAATTGTCAAATAGAATAAAGAAAACTTCGGATATCGGCCTGCGTCTTTTTTTTACAATAATAACTACTCGCAAAATTGTTTATCCCTACAATTTTACTAAATATCAAATAAATTTCAGCTTAGAATAAGCTGTGACGTGAAAAAATTCCTAAATTCAAAATAAATATTTTTTCTTTTCTTTCGAAAAATAATCAAGTCAATTCAGGGTGTCTATTATTTTCGTTCAACAAAATTCCCGGCTTTGTCCTAATTTTTCCCAGTTTTTTTTCTCATTAAATTAAAATTTTTATAAATAAATCTACAAATGACTTCAAAAATTTTAATTAGAGTTTTTATGAATAATTAAATTAAATTCTTTTAACGAGTTTCTTTAAATTTTTTGAAAATAATGTTTTTTTTAAATAATTTCTATTAGTTAATTTAAAAATATACACAATTAAAAAATTTTTTATGTGATTCTTTATAAAATCCAATTATTTGTCAATTATTAAATTAAAATACTTTGAAAATTCGATTAGTGAAAAAGTTTTTAATGAAATTCTTTAACAAATTTAATTTTTTTTCAGCTAATTTTCACAAAATTTTTATTAATTATGGATAATTTTCTTTTAATTTATTTACATAGTATATTTGAGTCAGTGACTAATTTTTTACTATCAATTTAATTATTTTTAACAAATTCAAATTTAGAGAAGAGTATAAATATCCATAAAAATTGAAATATAAAGCGATTTTTTAAAAACAAATGAAAATAATAAAAATTTTTTTAATTTGGTGAAAAAATTCCCGATTTGGCATAAAATTCCTAATTTATTCCCAGTATTTCCCTGTCAAATTTAATTCCCGGATTTCACATTTAGTAGACACCCTGCAATTTGATTCGAAATAATAAATTTTCAATCACAAAAATAAATCATAGTCGATATGTAAAATATATTTAATCACATTGGAATAAAAATTATTTAATTATTTCATTGTAGGATTTATTTTTTCTGAATTTAAGATAATTTTCACTTAAATATAGAATAAGAAAAAAATAGCTATTCTCACTGATTTTTCGAAAAAGTTTCTAAAAAAGGTTTTTTTTCGTTTTAAAGTAAATGGAAGAACGTCAAGAAAATATACAAAATAGAATCGTCAATTCCTGCTAATATTTACAATGTAAGTTTGATTTACAAATTCGTATTTAGGAGGAAAATAAAAAATAACAATTACATTTACACAAAAAATTAATGAAACGTATTCCTAAGTAACAGATAAATCTAAAAGTTGCAAAGAAGGGGAAATTTAAATACACATTAAGTATTTAAATTTGAAAATATTTGTCAACAATCTCAGTGAAAATGGCTATAGAAATTTGCATTTAATATTTGTGCGTTAAAAAGTTCACTATTTATACATATTTTGTCGTTGTAAATACATATTTAAAAAGGTAACGATGTTCTAACGGCTTGCTTGTAAATTTGCGGTTATAAAATTGAGAAAGGGTTTTACATTTATCATTTTTTTCCTACATTACAAAGTCGAAAAAAAACATTATATCAATTTTACGAAAAACTAAAATTATTCTTGCGAAAATATCATTTTTATAAAAACAAGTTTTTTTCAATTATATCAAATTCACTTGGAAAATTACGAATATTATTAAAAATAATTAACAATTTAAAAAAATTGACGCATGTCTTTTTTTAAATGTTTACAATATTGCATTTTGATTTTTAAAATTATTTTAAAAATTGCTGAGAATTTCTCTATTATAATTAAAAGTAGATTTAAAAAATTGTTTCTTAATTTTAATATCATGAAGAAAATTAATATAGACAATAAAATTTATTGTCTTTAGAGAATTTAAAATTGAACGACTCTAGATCTATATTTTTCAGCTAAACAATCTTCATTACGTTAACAAAACGAAATGCTCTAACAACAACAAAAAAAATTAAAAACTATAAACTTTTGTCATACAGTTAATGACAAGAAAAGATTTTTTTTTCGTATTCACTAATTTGCAGTCGATAACAATTGGATTTAAAAAATTGTTTCCATTTTTCATTTGGAAGATTAAATATAAAAAGAGTTAATAATAGAGATCTCTGACTTCCGTTTAACACGGAAGAGATTCTTAGATCAATTCCATCGCAGATGGTATTTAATTTCAATAATCTAGTCAATAATTATATAGCTTAATTAATAATAATTAAATAACTAATGTACAAATTACATAAATGAATAACGGACATTGTTTTTTTGCAAAGCGAGAAGTAAAACTCTCAATTATTTTTTTTTCATATAATAAAACAAGACGCACTTGATCGTTTCATTCTCGAATTTAATTAACTTACGGATAATCTCACTTATTCAATTTTCTTCGAAAAAAATTAAATTTAAATTCGGCAGTCTTGTTTTTTTTTATCTTCAGCAGTGTTTCTGGCAGTGGGGGGGGGGGATATTTTAATTATTTAGAAGAGATTTTTTTTTTTTTTTGAAGAAAGAAAATTTTTCTTCAAGAAAAACGTTTTATTTTCAAAACATAATATTTGCTTTGAATTGTTAATTTCTTGTAAAAATTGAGTAAAATTTGAACGTTTGAACGGAAACGAGCATCACCTTCTTATAAAGGATTTTGAATTGTATTTTTCTCCTCTAAACAATGGTATTGTTTAATATTTAATATCTTTCGTTTATAGTGTAAGAGAGGAGGGAGTTTGGAAACTCTTCCCCCACTCTACAAAAATTGACTGCTTAATGTTAATTTATTAAATTCTTAGAGAAAGTTATTAATTTAATAGAGTAATATTCGCTTGTCAACTGCTTTGCGGCAAATGGGACATTCGGACATGCGATCTCCGCACATTTGACACGTTCCATGTCCACAAAGGAATATCATATTCTTTAGACGATCTAAGCAAACTGGGCACATTGTCTGAAACAAAAAATAATTTTTAATTTTAATAAACATTTTTCGAAAAATATTATTTAACTATTGTTGTATTAATGAAAATAAAATTAATGAAAATAAATATTTCTCTATATATTTATTTTTAAATTAAATTGAAATATTTTTAAGGGCATTTGAAACTTGATGACGTCACACATGCTTTGCACAAACTGAAACGTCATCAAGGTTCAAATGCCCTTAAAGACAAATTTTTAATAATTTAAAAGAAGGTTTTTCGAAAATTCAATATTTAAACAATAAAAATGTAAATTTCTTTTTAAATTAAGCAATTAATAAAAAATTTAATTCTTATGGCCACAAATCATTTTTCTAATAAAAATAAAATTAGGAAAATATTAATACAATAAAACCTTTTGTTATATCCAAATGTAAAGTATAAAATATAAAATAAGAAATAAAAATAAATAATAAAATATAATAAAATATAACATAAATTTAAGGTTTGCCACAAAACTGATATTTTTTCCTAAATTTCAGACAGAATTTTATCTTTTCCCCTTGAAACCTTTGAAAAAAAATTCAATTGTGTATTATTAATCAAATTTTTGGAAATTTCAAATATATTGAAAATAGTAAATTACTTGTTATTTGTAAAAATTCAATTATCCTTGAAAAAAGAATTGAAATTAAATTTAAATATTTAAAATGCATTTTTTCAAGGAATTTTATTAAAATTTTTAAAAATAATTGAATTCTACCAAGAAATTTTATTAAAATATTAAATAATCGTAGTTGTTAATATAAATTGTGATTAAATTTATTTTTTAAATAATTGAATTCGTCACAGTAATTTTGTTACATTTTTTAAAAATAAATAAACTCTTTCAAAAAATTTAATTAAAATTGTATTAAAAATAATTGAATCTCTCCGAAAAATTTTATGAAAATAGTTAAAAATAATTGAATATTCTTTCAAGGAATTTTATTAAAATTTTCGAAAATAATTGAATTCTATCAAGAAATTTTATTAAAATATTAAACAATTGTGATTGTTAATAAAATAGAATTATAATTTATTTTTCAGAATTGATTTTTTTACAGAAATTTTGTCACAATTTTTAAAATATGTTTAGAGTCTCTGACGAAATTTATAATTAAAATTGTATTAAAATAATTGAATTGCTCCAAAGAATTTTATCAAAATAATTATCAAAAGACAAATTTTTAATAATTTAAACGAAGATTTTTTGAAAATTCAATTTTTTTATCAATTATTATTCAATAAAAATAGTTTGAAAATTCGATTCCTTAAAAATCTTTAATGAAATCCTTTAATAAAATTTAATTTTTCAATTTAATTTCAATAAATTTCAATTAATTTAAAAATCTTTATTAATGTTTTTCAAAAAAAAAAAAAAAAAATTTAATAATCCTAAAAACATGGAATCAAAATTTTTCAAAAATCAGAATTTCTGAATTAAATTATTTGAAACTTTAATAATTTTATTAAATTTAAAAAGTTACAAAAATAAATTTTTTCTTAATTAGTTAATTTTACTAAGAATTAATTAAATTAAACATTTTTTTAAATAAGATTCCAATATTTTTCGAAAATTTTTAATAAAAATTCTGAAAAATTAGTTTTTAAAATATTTCAGTTTTATTTTTTTTAAATATAATTATATTTTTATAAAAAATGAAAAATATTTATTGATATTTATTTTTTTGCAGAAACTAAAATTTTTAATTATTTAAATTTTAAACCTTTTGCTTTCAATATTATTTCTAAAAGTGTAAAATTTAAAACATTTTTAAAGCCTTGAATTTTAGAAGATTTACATTGTTTCCAAAAGTTTATGTTCATTCTTTATAAAAATATAATTATATTTAAAAAATAGAACTGAAATATATTTTTAAAAAATAATTTTTTAGAATTTCTATTAAAAAATGTCGAAAATTGAATTCTTTAAAATAATTTTTGGAAATATTTAATTATTATTCATTTCTTCACAGCAATTGAAAAGTTTCGAAAAATTTTAATTTTAATTCCTTCAAAGTATTTTTTTTATTTATTTATTTCGTGGCCTTTATTTGTACAAATTGTATTAAAATAATTGAATCCCTTCAGAGAATTTTATCAAATTAGTTAAAAATAATTGAATTCTTTTAAGGAATTGTATTAAAATTTTTTTAAATAATTGAAGTCTCTTGAAAAATTTAATTGAAATTGTATTCAAAATAACTGAATCCCTCCGAAGAATTTTATCAATGAAATAATAATTGAACTCTTTCAAGGAATTTTATTGAAATTTCTAAAAAAAATTGAATTCTTACAAGAAGTTTTACTAAAATTTTTAAAAATAAAATCAATTACATAAAATAAAAATTTATTTGCGGAAATTAAAAATTAATCAAATTTAGATTATAAAACATTTTTAAAGATAATAAAATTTTTCCATATTTATTTGTTTTCTTTCTTCAAATATTTTTTCTTTCTTCTTTTTATTTTTACGTACTTCGATTTATTTAATTAATTTTTAATGCCTATAATGATCAACTTTTTGTCTGGCTGTATTTTTTGGTTCAAATAAAAAAAAAATTTTTTTTTTTTTTTTTTTAAATTACTAAAATATTTATAAATTATTTATAATAGAATAAAAATGGTATAAAATTGAATACTACTAAATTAATTTAATTAATAATAGTAATAATAGATATAGTAGTAGGTGACAATAATAATAAGAATAACATAATTTATTATTAATACACTGTGAGAAAAAAATAAAATAAAAAAGAGTGAAATTTCGTAAATGGCAAAAATATATTTCTTGATAAATAGTAATTAAAGTTTTTACCTGTTCTTTGATATCTTGCAGCTGTTGTTGCAGTTTTTGTATATCACTGTGTGAAGTATCTCGACTTCCGTTATTCATTAAGATAGTTTCACCAGCACTAGTATTTGTTGGAGCTGGTTCTTCTTCCTCGTCAACTTTATCGTCAGTCAAAGAACCCGCTGCAAAAAAAAATTAAATATTCCACATAAATTACTCTCAACTCTCCAAGTCTGAAATTCCTTTTTATCATTTTTGTACACATATTTGGAAATGGATAAACAAATTAATTAAATATACAAATAAATAAAAGAGTAAATAAATGCTGCTTATCCAATAATAAAATTTAAATGAACTTTTCCATTTCAATTTTTATTTCAAATTTTCATTTTCATTTCAAAGTGAAAATTTATATTTCAAATTTTCATTTTCATCTCAAAATAAACATTTTGAATTTGAAATTTTCATTTTCATTTCAAAATAAAAATTTTTAATTTGCAATTTTTAATTTCATTTCAAAATGAAAATTTTTTTTTTCAACTTTACATTTTCATTTTTAAATGAAAATTTAAAATTTAAAATTTTCATTTTGAATTTGAAATGAAAATTTTGAATTTGAAATTTTCATTTTCATTATTTGTATTGAAAATTTTGAATTTGAAATTTTCATTTTTATTTCAAACTGAAAATTTTGAATTTGAAATTTTTATTTTTATTTCAAAATGAAAATTTTTATTTTGAAATTTTTTAATATAATAAATATTAATAAATATATAATATAAATATTATTTAATATTTTTTTCCATTTTTATTTAAAAATGAATATTTTGAATTTGAAATTTTCATTTGGAAATGAAAATTTGCAATTTGAAATATTCATTTTCATTTCAAAATGAAAATGAAAATTTGAAATAAAAATTTTAAATTCAAAATGAAAATTTTAAATTCAAAATTTTCATTTTGAAATAAAAATGAATATTTTAAATTCAAAATTTTTATTTCGAAAAGAAAATGAATGTGAAGATTTGGAAAAAAAATTCATTTTAAATGAAAATGAAAATTTGAAATTTTCATTTTTTTTCGAAATAAAAATTTTGAATTTGAAATATTAATTTTTATTTCAAAATGAAATTTTTTATTTTAAATTGATAATAAAAATTTGAAATGAAAATTACATATTCATAATTTCCATTTAGAAATGAAAATTTCAAATTCAAAATTTTGTTTTTTGAAATGAAAATTCTAATTTCAATATTTTCATTTCGAAAAGAAAATGAAAGTGAAAATTTGAAATAAAAATTTCCATTTTAAATGAATATGAAAGTTTGAAATAAAAATTTTCATTTTAAATGAAAATAAAAATTTGAAATTTTCATTTCAAAATGAAAATTTGGAATTTTAAATTTTCAGTTTCATTTGAAAATGAAAATTTTGAATTTGAAATTTATAGTTACGTTAAATTTAATTATACTTGAAATTTTTTTACAGATACAAAAAAGTGTATAAAAAAAGAATTTGAAATTGTTATAAAATCTATTTCTTGACGTTTCTTCTTTTTTTCTATTTTACTGTTTTTTTCTTTTTGAAAGTATATAAAGTGCCCGGAGTAGAAAATGGAAAAGGTAAATATCGAAGAGAGATGTTTTTCTTTTTTAACATAAATTGAGAGAGTTTCGATATGTATTATTCAGTAGGGCAATGATATTGAGGGATTCTTATTATTTTTACCTGCAGTAGTATTGCACCCTTTCACGTACGTGACGTCACCTCCACCACCACAGCACACTGACATCGGTACCATATGTTGAATATGAGCTCGGCATTGAACGCATTTCTTCATTAAGGCAGCGCAAGCATCACAGGCACACATGTGACCGCAAGGACGAAATAGGACACCAGCTTTACGATCCGAGCAAACTACACATTCTTCAATCTAAAGAAACGAGAATAATCATTATTTTCATTTATATTTTCTATTTATTCACTTGATGTATATTCAGAATTTTAATAATTCAAATTAAAAATTTTAATTAGTTATATCAAAATTACAGAATTTTTTTCATCCTCAGGGTTGTCAAGGGTCGAGGAAATCAACATGCCAAAAAAAATTTAATTTTGCTTTTCCCAAATTTCCAGAAAAAATTTTGATTTTTTCCCTGACCCTAAAGAATATTCTGATTCACTTTAAAAATTAAAAATTTCACTCAGAAAAATGTTTTATTATATTTATTTACGAATTTATTTAATTGTGAAATTTGAAAATATCAAATAACTTCATTTTAAAATAAATATTTAATCATTATTTTTTTTCATAGGAATTCAGATTTTCAAAAATTTCAAATTCAAACCTTTTGAAAAATTCAATAACTTGCAAATTACAAAATTTTTCATTTTCAAATATAAATTTTTGAATAATTTCTTAATCAAAATTTAAAAAATCCACTTATTAGGTACATAATGAATTATTATTGTTTGTATTTTCAAAAATGTTAATATTACTCTTCGTAAAAATTCAAATATTTTCATAAATAATAACATTCTTCGAAAGAATTCAATTATTTTCATAAATAGTAAAATTTTTTGTCAAAATTCAATTATTTTTAATACATTTGTAATAAAATTTCACGAAAGGATTCAATTAAATTTTTTCCAATTTTGAATAAAATTTTTCGAAAGAATACAATTATTTTCTAAAATTTTCATAAATCCTTCGTAACAAATCAATTATATTTATCCTATCCAAATATTCAATTATTTTCAAAAAAGTTTCACGCAAGAATTGAATTTTTTCTTAATTCGTTATAAAATCTTTGAAAAAATTCATTTATTTTCAAAAAAATTTCACGAAAGAACTCAATTATTTTCTTAATTCGATATAAAATATTTCAAAAGAATTTAATTATTTTAAAAAATTTTTTAAATTGTATGCAACCATTCATTTATATTTATTTTTATAGATAGTAAAATTCTTTGCAACAATTCAATTATATTCAAAATTTCAAAACCATTTCACGAAAGAACTCAATTTTTTTCTAATTCTTTAAAAAAAATTTCAAAAGAATTAAAATATTTTCTTAAATTTTAATAAATTCTTCAAAAAAAAATTCAATTATATTTGTAAATAGTAAATATATTTCAAAAAATTCAATTATTTTCAACTAAATTTTATTGAAATTTCACGAAATAATTCAATTATTTTCAACTAAATTTTAATAAATCCTTCGAAACAATTCAATTATTTTTTTAAATATAGTATAAAATATTTGCAAAAATTCAATTATTTTCAACAAAAATTCCATGAAAGAATTAAATTATTCTCTTAATTCGTTATATGAAATGTTTCCAAAGAATTAAATTATTTTCAAAACTTTCAATTAAAATTATTCAAAAAACTACATTATTTTCAAAAAAATTTTTTAAATTCTTCGAAACAATTTAATTATTTACTAAAACTGTAATCAAAATTATTTAAAATAATTCTATTTTCTATAAATAATTTAAATAAAATTTTAAAAGTAGGTAAAATCAATAATTACAATTAATTCCTTGAATGAATTACATTATTTTGGAAAATTGTAATGAAATTCTGCTAAGAATTCAATTATTTTCTAAAAATTTTTTAAAAATTCAATAATTAAAAGTTTAATTTCAATCATTAAGAAACACATTTATTTTAAAAACTTGAAAGAAATTGTTCATAAAATTCATTTACTTTAAAAATTTTCAATTAAAATTATTAAAGAGATTAAATTTTTTTTCAATTCAAAAAAATTCTTCAAAAGAATTTTATTAGGATTTTAAAAAATTTTAATAAAATTCTTCGCAAGAATTCAATTATTTTCATAAATAATAAAATTCTTCGAAAGATTTTAATTATTCACAAATTTTTGATAAAATTCTTTGCAAGAATTGAATGCTTTTCAATTCTACATTAATTTTAGAATATTGAAAATATTTAAAAAGAAATATTATTAAAATATTTAGGAAAAAAATTTCAATCAATTTTTATTAGAAAATTCTACGAGAATTCAAAAATTTAAAATACAAAAATAAATAATTTATTGAATAATTGAATGTTTCTCAAAATTGAATTCTCATGAAGAATTTCATCAATAAATTTTTAAATAATTGAATTCTTTTGACGAATTTTTTCGATGAATTTGATTAAAATTGTATTAAAATTAATTGAAATTTTATAATGAGTTTTATTTCCCATGAAAATAATTGAATCTTATAGTAAAAAATTTTATTATTTATGAAAATAATAGAACTTCTATGAAATTTTTATTATTTTATGAAAATAATTAAATGTTTTCGTAGAATTTTGCTAAATTTTTTTTTCAAATAATTCAATTATTTCCCAAAATTTTATTAAAATAGTAGATATTGAAAAATCATTAAATTGAGAAAAATTTTTGAAAATAAATTGAATTTCAGAGAGTTTAAACAAATTTTTGAACATAATTGATTTTTGTAGGTAATATATATTTAATTATTAATTATTTATTTGTGAAAAATAATTGATTTAAGGAAATATTATTAAAAGTAATTGATTTCGAAAAAAAATTTAATAAAAAACTAAAAAAAAAAGATTTTTTCAGTAGTTGCAAATATACTTGCAATTCTTAGAAGTAATTGAATTTTAAAAAGGTTTCAAACTTTATCAAAAATTAATTTGAAAATTCTAGAAAATATTAATTTTATTGAATTGAATGATGAAAATAATTTTGAAGAAGTTACATAATAAAGTTATAAGTTTATATTGAATTTCAAAAGGTTTAAATTTCAAAATTTTTGAAAGTCTTAATTCCTATATAGAAAAATAATAATTATTAAATATTTATTTTAATTTTAAATAAATCTGTTTATATTTTCGACTGATATTTACAATTAAAGAAATTCACAAATAAATGAATTAATTTTTCTAGAAAATTGAAAATGAGAAAGAATTTTTTAAAAATTTTACAAAAAAGTCGAATTTTTGAACAATTTAAAAACTTTTTGAAAACTTTTAATTAAAAATTTTGAAAATGGGAGATTTTTCCAAAATTTTTTTTATAATTATTTTAAAAAATTAGATTTTTTAACAATTTAAAGTCATTTTTGTAGATCTTTGAATTTTCCGAAATACGTAAACGTTAAAATTTCCATTAAAATTTTTTTTACAATTATTCAAATTATTTCCAAAATTTGCAATTAAAATTTCTTTAAGCAAAATTTCAATTAATCGTAAAAGTTTTTAATATCATTCTACCTAATTATAAGAATTTAATTGAGCTGACGGATTAATTATTATGTTAAAAAAATTATTAAACAATAATTTTTGAAAGATTTGGCTGCAATTATTTTTCAGAGAATAAAAATCTAGATACTTTGAAAAAAGTCTTAGTTTGATAAAATAGTTGAAAAAAAGTTATATTTTATTGGAAGGGAAAATAAAAAAAAAAAATTTGGAAAAGAAATTTGTGAAAAAGTGATACAATAAAATGCCTGCGATATTATTAACAAATAAGCGAAGAAGTAAATTTAACATTTGAATGCGTGGTGATAATGAATTTCCTTGTTCGATTAATTAATTCAAATAGATGGGATACGTGATTGGAATTCGATCATTAGAAACTTGAAAGTGAGAAAATCTGTTAATTACTTTTCCTCTGGACATGACGTTCTCTCGGCAGATCAAACACTTCTTCACTCTAGGAGCACATGCGTTACAGCAGGCGACGTGTCCACATGGACCAAAAAGAACTTCTCGCTTTCCATCCGAACACACCAGACACTCGTCAATCGTTGCTGATGTACTTACAGGTTCGATGTCATGTCTGCAACAAAAAAATTTCTTTAAAAAAAAGCACCAAAGAAAAACCATTAAATTAGAAAATAAAGTAGATTTATATCTATTTCTATATATTTTACGCACAAAATTCGAAATTTTATCTTTCACTTCTAATTTCGGAATTAGAGATTTTATTTTCCCAACTTTTCTCGTAATTCAACGAGATGAAAGCAAAATACAAATCTTCATCACAAGTGCAGGTCGCACGGACTGACTTTAAAGGGACGAAAATAGTCGTTTTAGTTCATTCAAAATTAAAAATACAAAAAAAGTATAGAAAAAGGCATTTACTTCATTCAGATTTGTAACAAAAATTTAATTTTTTAGTTCTGTAAATTTTTCCTGGTTTCTAGAAAAATATTTCCTTTTTTTTCTTCTCACAATAATAACTTGAATTCTGAGATTTGGAAATATTCAATTATTTTCAAATCATTTTTTTGATATTTTTTAAAAATTTTTCTTCTAAAAATAAGATTATTTTTAAAAATTTGTAACATTTTGTAAAACATAAAATTTAATTCAGTAATAAAAATTTTATTATTTCTAAACATTTCAACTGTAGGTAATTCTTCTAAAATTCAATTATTTTCCAAAACTTTTAACTAAAATGTATTTTCTAAAAATTTCCATTTTTTCTTCACTAAAACAATATTATTTTTAATATTTTTAAAAAAGTCGTTCGAAAATTCATTATTATATAAAAAAAAGAAAAGTTTACGTAAAATTCGTCAACATTTAAATTATTTATTTTCAATTCAATAATAGGAAAATTTTTCAAAAAAAACTAAGTTTTTTTAGAATTTTTAATTTTAGTTTCTCAAATTAAAATAATTTATTTTTGGATTCATTTTTTCCACGGGAAAAATTAATATTATTAATATCTAAAATAATTAAACTATATTAATAAAATTTTTTTTGTTATCTAACTTTTTTAATTTTTTTTTTTAATTTTCTTTTTAAATATTTTTAATTTTAAAATGAATGTCGAGAAAAACATATTGGGAAGAATCTTACAAATTTATAAAAATAATTGAATATTTGGAAAGAGTTTTATTAAAATTTTCTTATTATTATGCAAATTACAAAATTTTTTATTTTCAAATATGAATTTTTGAATAATATTTCAGACTCAAACTTTAAAAAAAATTCAATTATTATTAACTAATTTACTAATTATTTATTCTTGTTTATTAATTTCAAAATCTTTTATAAAATTCTTTGCAAGAATTCTTTTATTTTTATAAATAATAACATTCTTCTTAAGAATTCAATTAATTTTAATAAAATTTTACTTAATTTAAAAATCAATTCCTTTCAATTTAATTTTATGAAATTCAATATTATTCCAAAATATTTTAATGTTTTTTTGAATTTCTTTTGAGTATCTAAAAAACTTTTTTCTAATGAAGGTGATTTTCTAATTTTCTTTCTTCTAATAAAGGTAATTTTCAAACTTATTTTTTTCTACCAATATTTAATTTTTGTAATTTAAAAAATTTTTTTAATTCTTAAAAAAAAATATTTGAGATTTCATTAAAAAATTGTAAAAAATAGAAATTATACAAATTTTTGAACAAAATTTTTAAATAATCTAGTTAAAAATCGTAATTATTAAATAGAAGTTACAGGGATTTTTTTCCTAAAGATTTTTAACATTTTCTAAGAAAATGTTTTATAAATATATTAATTTTGGAAATTTTGGTAATAAAAATGATGCAGATTATTATTTTTTTTTTTCAATGAAGAACGGAATTTTGTTAAAAAATTGTGATAAGAAATAGGAATTTTATTAAAATTTTTCTTCTTTTTCAAAAAGAAACTCATAATTTTGTGAAATTAAAATTTCTGATTGAGAAGCAGAAAATATGCAAAATAGTTTCTATTTTCTAATCTTAATTTTTCAACATTTTCTAATTTTTATCAAAATTACGGAGTTTCACAAATATTAGGGAAGTAAATATTAGAAATCATAAGTTTTTAGAAAAACCTTTTTTAGAAATCAAAACTTGTTAAAAAAACTTTTTTTTGGAAAAAAGATTTCATTAGAAATCGCCTTTTTTCAGAGAAAAAGGATTAGAAAATATTTTTTAGAAAAAGTGACCGCCTACCGACTTAAATCTTCCATAAAATTATTTTTTTAGTAATTTTTTGAGAGGAAATCAATATCAGAAAATATTCTGACCTTTTTTCAATTTTATTTTTCTTAAAAATTGATAGATTTTAAAGTTCATCTGTAATTTTGTAGAAAATATGTTTTTTTATTCAAAAAAAAAAAAAATTGCAGAATGAAAAAAATTATTTTTAAATTATTTTTGAAGCATTTTTTTGAAAAAAATAAATATTGTTTTTAGATTGAAAATGGTAAAATATACCATTGTTAGTCAATTTTATTTACATGGAAATTCACTTGCTTATTTTTCTAACTGATTTCAAATATTATATTTTATCATAATTTTTCTATATAATTACCTATATTTGTTATTTTAAAAAATTATTAGTTGAAATTAGTTGAAAAAATAAACAAGTGAATTTCCATATAAAAAAGTTAAATAAAAATGGTATATTTTAGCATTTTCAACCAAAAAAAAAATTCTACAAAATTACGGTTGTATTTTAAAATCTATCAATTTTTAAGAAAAATAGAAATCCAAAAATGGTCAGAATATTTTCTGACCATTAATTTCCTCTCAAAAAATTACTCAGGGTTTTTCAGGTTTTTAAAAACTACATTTGTTGCTAAGAAAAATTTAATTTTGTTTTTCCCTGACATTCCCTTGAATTTCAGACAAAATTATTACTCTTCCTTCACTCTAAAGAATATTCTGATTCAGTTTAAAAATTATTACTCAGAATAATGAATATTTTTCTTCTTAAATATAAAAAAAAAAATTTTAAATTAAACAATTTAAAAAAAATTGTTATAAAACATGAAGAAATCGATCACTCCGAGTCTTCGACTCGGAGCAATCAATATCTTCATGTTTTATAATAATTAATTAATTATTAAAGATGACCGACTAATAAAATAATTATTTTATATTATAAGAATATTGTTACTGTAACTTCATAAAAATTATTTTTATCATTTCAATTTAATTAGTTTTTAAAATTTTTAACTAAAATTCTTCATTAAATTAATTAATTTTAATAATTTTTGAAAAATTTCTTTGGAAATTTTCAAATTTTTTTGTTTACAATTCAATTTTAAAAAATTTCTTCGACTATTTGGAAATTCTTCAATCAAATATATATTAGAAAATAAAAACTTGAAATAATTTCAAAAAAGTTTCATTAAACTTTTTAAAAAAAAATTAAATCTACATAATTTTGAGTTAAAAGTATTAAAAATTCAAACTTTCAAAAACTATATAATTTGAGACCTTTTCAAAATTGAATTATTTCTAAAAATTCACGCTATAATACTTTTTCTTTTAATTAGAATTAATAAAATTGTTTACTAATTGGAATTAGTGACTGAATTTTTGCTTTTGAATTAGTCAATTTTGCTATTAAATTAGTAAAAACGAATATATATTAGTAAAATCTGCTAATTCAAAAGCAAAAAATCAGTCACTAATTCAAATTACAAACCATTTTTACTCATTCAAATTTAGAGAGTTTAATATTCAATTATTATCTAAAATTTTAACTGAAATTCACATTTAAATCAATTTTTATTAGAAAATTCTGCGAGAATTCCATTATTTAAATACAAGAAAAATTCATTGAATAATTGAATGTTTCTTAAAATAATTGAACTCTCATTAAGAATTTTATCAACAAATTTTTAAATAATTAAAATTCGAATTTTAATAAAATTTTTTAGAATAATTTCATTTTTCGAGAAATTAGTTTAAAATTGTATTAAAAATAATTGAGTCTCTGTAATTTATGAAAATAATTGAAAACCGATAAAGAATTCGTGGAAATAATTGAATCCTTGTAAAAATTTTATCATTTATGAAAATAATTGAACTATTGCGGGAAGAAATTTATAAAAAATTTCTAAATAATAGAAATGCTGTGAAATTTTTATTATTTAATTAATTCAGTAAAAATTGAAATTTTCTAAAATGTTTTCTGCTTTGAAAATAGTCGAAAAAAGTCCATCCGAGGCCTGCAAATGTAATAAAGAATAACAGATTCTAATTCTATGTTATTCCAATTTCCTCTTTCGCTTTTAAGTTTAAAATGAAAATCTCGGAAATTGATAGGGATTTAGGGGCAAAGAAGAATGGGAAAAATAAATAAAAACGAATACGAATATGAAACTAACGATTCGGTATCCTTGTAACACGTGGTGAGTGTTTTACAAAGATTTGGATCCGGACAGAGGTCGAGGGGAGTCTGTCCCTTCTTGTTCTTGAGCTCCAAATCTGCGCCGTGGGCTGCAAGGAAGCAGGCAATAAAGGAACTGCTTTTCTTGTCCTGACCCTGAGCGCCCAGGCCCATTAAGAGTCGACCAACATCCTGAACATCCTGGAGCTGACGCAGTTGCGAGAGCGTGTGGTGGCGCAGGGCCTCGTGCAGCGGAGTGTCGCCATCCTTGTCGGCCACGTTCAGATTTGCACCCTCTCGTACAAGGAGCTGAAAAATTATTAATTTTCACTCAATTATCTACTTCAATTATCTACTTGAATTATTAGGTATCTACGCGCAGTAAACTTTACATGAAGCTGTAGTCCCCGCAACGTTTTTAAAAACGAAAAATCCAAAAAGAATTTTTTTTCAAATTAAATTTATCTCTAATTTCTGTGCTTGTTAATTGTTTAAAAAAACATGATTTAGAATCAAAAATAAAAAATCGTCGCATTATTTTTTCGTTTTCGTTTTTAAAAACGTTGCGGACTTCAGCCTCTCAACTTTACGAGGATTTTACACCAACAAAAAAAAAATTAAAATAATTTATTTTTGGATCCATTTTTTCCACGGGGAAAATCTATAATAATTAAACTATATTAATAGTAATTTTTTGTTTTCTAACTTTTTAAATAATTTTTCTTTTTAAATATTTTCAATTTTAAAATATTAATGTCATGAAAATCATATTCAATTCATGAGAAGAAGTTTGCAAATTTATAAAAATAATTTAATTGTTTTGAAGAATTTTATCATAATTTTAAAAATAATTGAATTCTTTTGAAGAATTTTAATAAAATTTGTAAGAATAATTATATTTTTCCCGAAATTCGATTAAAATTGCATTAAAAATAATTGAAATTCTGAAATGAGTTTTATTGTTTATAAAAATAATTGAATTCCTAAAAAGAATTTTATTATTTCTGAAAATAATTGAATTCCTGTAAAATTTTTACTATTTATGGAAATAATTAAATTTTTGCATAGAATTTTATTCAAATTTGTCTTAAATAATCTAATTCTTTTGGAAAATGTTTAAAAAAAAGAGATATTGGAAACCATTGAATTGAGAACAATTTATTTTTGAAAATAATTGAAATTCTGCCAAGAATTTTATTAGAATTTTTGAAAATAAATGAATTTCGGAGAAGAATTTTATTCGTTATGAAAACAATTGACTTCTTGGAGAAAAATTTATTATTTTTGAAAATATTAGAATTATTGCTAAAGAAATTTTTTTTTTAATTCTAATTGAATTCTCTTAGAAAATTTCATTAAAATAGCAGTTATTGATAATCATTGAATTGAGGACAATTATTTCTGAAAATAATTAATATTTTTCAAAGAATGTTAGGAAAATTTTTTAAAAATAATTAAATGTTTAAAAAGAATTTTATTAAAATTTTATTATTATTATGCAAATTACAAAATTTTTTATTTTCAAATATGAATTTTTGAATAATTTCAGACTCAAACTTAAAAAAAAAATTTAATTATTAACTAATTTACTAATTAATTATTCTTGTTAATTAATTTCAAAAATTTTTATATACTTCTTCGCAAGAATTCAATTATTTTTATAAATAATAACATTCTTCGTAAGAATTCAATTAATTTTATAAACATAATAAAATATTTTACAAAAATTTAATTATTTTTAATAAGATTTCACGAACTAATACAATTTATTTCTAAAATTTTAATAAATTCTTTGAAACAATTCAATTATTTTCTGTAAATAGTAAAATTTTTTGCAAAAATTCAATTATTTAAAAAACAATTTCACGAAAGAATTCAATTATTTTCTAAAATTTTAATCAATTCTTCAAAAAAATTCAATTATATTTGGTAAATAGTAAAATTCGTTGCAAAAATTGTTTAAAAAAAAATAATAATAATCAAATTATTTTCAAATAATATGCACAAAAGAATTCAATTTTTTTCTTAATTCGTCATATAAAATTTTTAAAAGAATTCAAATTTTTTCTAAAATTTCAATAAAAGTCAAAAATTAAATATGAAATTTCAATTACAAACAAACACGATTATTTTAAAAACTTAAAGAAATTGTTCATAAAATTTAATTATTTAAATTTTTTTTTAATTTTTAAAAAAACTCCGTTATTTAAAAAAAAATTCAAAGAAATTCTGAAAAAAGACTTTAATTAGAATTATCAAAAATTTTAACATAATTCTTCACGAGAATTCAATATTATTTCTAAAATTGTGATAAAATTCTTCAAGAGAATTGAATTATTTTTATAAATTGTAAAATTCTTCGCAAGAATTCAATATAATTTTTATGACATTAAAAATAATTTAATTCCTCCAAAGAATTTTATTATTAAGAAAAATAATTGAATTCCTTTGAAGAAGTTTATTATTTATAAAATTAATTGAATTATTACGGAGAATGTTATTATTTATGAAAATAATTGAATTCTTGCGAAGAATTTTATTAAAATTTTTTTAAATAATCGTGTCTGTTAAAAATTATTATTACATATTTCATTATTGAAGTTTATTCCACTTGTAATTGAAAATAATTGAATTCCTATGAATAATTTTGTTATTTGTAAAAATAATTTAATTCTTGCAAAAAATTTTACTATTTTTAAAAAGAATTGAATTGATTCTAAGAATTTATTAGAAGTTTAGAAAATAATTGAATTCTTTAGAAAAATTGTATTAAAAATTGGAAAAAATTTAATTAAATTCTTTCCTGAAATTTTATTATAATTGTATTCAAAAGAATTGAATTTTTCCGAAAAATGTTATTATTTATGAAAATAATTGAAATTTTGCGAAGAATTTAATCAAATTTATTGACCTGGTTCAATTCTTTAAGGGCATTTGAACCTTGATGACGTCACACATGCTTTGCACAAACTGAAACGTCATCAAGGTTCAAATGCCCTTAAAGAAATTATATTTATAATACTCTGAAAAATTAGTTTTTAAATTCTATAAAATAAAATTTAATTTCTCAAGAATTTTATTAAAAAATTGTCATAATTAAATTTTTATAAACAAATTGTATCATTTTATAATTTTTATAGAATATAATTTAATATTTTAGAAGAAATTTCTTTCAAACTTTAAAAATAGTTGAATTTTTAAAATAAATTTTACTGACAATTGTCGACAAAATTGAATTTTTGAAAGAAAATTAAGGAATTTTATAGAAAAAAAAAGATTTTAAATATGCAGAATAGGGAACGAGAAGGAAAAAAATTAAAACAATTGAAAATAGTTGAATATTTCCAAAGACTTTACAATTTAAAAAAATAATTGAATTGTTTCAATGGATATATTCCAATTTTAGAAAATAATTGAATTCATGCACGGAATTTTATTAAAATTGTATTGAAAATAATTCAATTCATGCGAAGAATTTTATTATTTATAAAAATAATTGAATTCTTCCATTCGTTATATTATTTATGAAAATAATTGAATTCTTCCATTCGTTATATTATTTATGAAAATAATTGAATTCTTGCGAAGATTTATATTAAAATTTTTTAATAGAAATTCATAGAAATTCTTCAAAAGAATTTAATTAGGATTTTTAAAAATTTTAATTTTAATATTTTAATAAAATTTTTCACCAAAATTCAATTATTTTCATAAATAATAAAATTCTTCAAAGCAATTCAATTATTTTCATAAATAATAAAATTCTTCAAAGCAATTCAATTATTTTCATTAATAATAAAATTCTTCAAAAGAATTCAATTATTTTTAATTCAATTTTAGTAAAATTTTTCGAAAAAATACAATTATTTAATAAAATATTTATTAAATTCAATTATTTTCAATTATTTTTCGTGAAATTTTTTTGAAAATAATTGAAATTTGCAAAGAATTTTACTATATATTTATAAATGTGATTTTTAAAATAATTTTACTTTATTTATTTTACTATACCTATTTTACTTATTTATAAAAATATATAGTAAAATTCTTTGCAAAAATTCAATTATTTTCAAAAAAATTTCACGAAAAATCATTGAATTCTTTTGAAGAATTTTATTATTTTTAAAAATAATTGAATTTAATAAATATTTTTAAAACTAATTGTCTTTTCCGAGAAATTTTTTGCAAAGAATTTTACTAATTACAAATATAATTGAATTTTTTCGAAGAAATTATTAAAATTTTAGAAAATAATTGAATTCTTTCGTGAAATTTTTCATAACGATTTAAGAAAATAATAATTGTATTCTTTCAAAAAGAAGCTTGAAAATTTTCGTGTTTAAAAATTGCAAATGAGAAAATAGAAATTCACCAGCCAAAAAAAAGTTGAAAGGAATTTATTTTCCTTTTAAAATGAAACGAATTTATAGATGATAAATAGTGTAAGGATAAAATTTCAATAATCCAGTCTTTAATCTGCATTTTGCCCAGTCGACTTGACTTGAATTGGAAATAGAGGAATTCGGGTCATTGGATATTGTCTGGCTTTGGCCAAGAGTGGTAAATTGGTGAAATTCTGCTGATGAGTCAAAAGCGATTTTAGTGAAATATGGAAATTGGAGGTTCGAATATGGTACCTTGACGATTTGTGTGTGTTGACGTTCCACGGCCAAGTGCAGGGCCGTTTGCAAGTTGACGTTTTGCAAGTCCAAGTCTGCTTTGCCAGCGCGAGCTAATTGTTCAGCCACCTCCACGTGATTATTGAGTGCTGCCAAGTGAAGAGCCGTGTAGCCGTCGTCCTTTTTCTCATCGACTATCCACGGTCGGGGCAATTTCGACAATAAAACCCTCATTGCACTGAAACAAAGGAACAATTTTCTTTTATTTTCAGTTTCACACTTTATTATGCAAATTGGCCAATATTTTTTATTTTTAAATGTCAACTTCAATTTTTTGAACAATTTCATCTTCAATATTAGAATATAATTCGTAATTTATTAACTAATAAGCTAATTAATTATTATAGGTTTAAAAAATTAAATTAAAAAAAAAATTAATAAAAAAAATTTTTTTTAAATTAAAAATTAATTAATTTATTAATTGACTAAAATTTAATTTCGTTTTTATTATTTTTATTTATGAATTTCATTAATTGTAAAATTATTCGAAACCATCAATAACTTTTTTAAAATAAACTTTCAAAAATTTCAAACTCAAACTTGTTTGAAATTCAATGTATCGAGAAATCGTCGTCTGACTATTTAATAATAAATTGTTTAAATCGTATAAAGACATTTTAAAAATTATTACTCATCATACAAAAACGGATATTTGAGAAATTACAAACTAATCATTATTTTATATTAAAAGAATATTATTACTGTAACTACTTCAAAATTATTTTCATCATTTCAATTCAATTATTATTTTCTAGAATTTTTAACTAAAATTCTTCATTAAATCAATTATTTTCTATAGAATTTTTGAAAAACTTCTTTGAGAATTTTCAAATCCATTTGGTTACAATTCAATTTTATGAAATTTCGATTATTCGGAAATTCTTCAATTAAATATTATACCTATTAGAAATTAAAAAACTTCAAATAATTTCAAAAAAAAAATTTAACTGAACTTTTTCAAAAAAATTAATTCTACAAAATTGTTTGTTAAAAGTGTGAAAAATTCAAACTTTCAAAGTTTAAAATTAGCAACTTTTTCAATAATCAATTATTTCTAAAAATTCACACTATAATGCTTTTAATATTCAATTACTATATCTAAAATGTTTGACTGAAGTTCATTTTTAAAAGTCAATTTTTATTAGAATTTTCTGCGCTAATTCAATTATTTAAATACAAAAATAAATAATTTATTCAATGGAACGTTTCTGAAAATTGAATTCTCATAAAGAATTTTATCAACAATTTTTTAAAATTGAATATTCTTTTAACAAATTATAATTTAAAATTTTTTAGAATAATTTCATTTTGCGAGGAATTCGATTAAAATTGTATTAAAAATAATTGAAATTCTGCATTAAGTTTTATTATATTTATGAAAATAATTGAATTCCTAATAAAAAATTTTACTATTTATGAAAATACTGGAAATTTTGAAGAGAAATTAAAAAAATTTGGAACATAATTGAATTTCTGCGAAGAATTTTATTACTTTTCAAAATAATTGAATTTTCAAAATTCCATTATTTCTAAAAATTCAAGCAATAATGCTTTGAATATTCAATTATTATCTAAAGTTTCGGCTGAAATTAATTTTTAAATTAATTTTTTTAGAAAATTCTAAGGGAATTCAATTATTTAAACACAAAAATAATAATTTATTAAGTAATTGAATATTTCTCAAAATTGAAATTTCATAAAGAATTTTAGCAACAAATTTTTAAATAATTGAATACTTTCGACGAATTTTAATAAAATTTTTAAGAATAATGACATTTTTCGAGAAATTTGATTAAAATTATTGTATTAAAAATAATTGAAATTCTGCAATGAATTTTATTATTTATGAAAATAATTGAATTCTTACAAAGAATTTTATTTAAGTTTATAAAAATAATTGAATTTCGGTGAAGAATTTTATTATTTATAAAAATAATTGAATTCTTGCGACGAATTTTACAAAAATCTTTTTAAATAATTGATAATTTTCGAAAAATTTTATGAAATTTTGTATTTTATATAATTGAATTCCTGTGAAAATTTTAGTACTTATGAAAATAATTGAATTATATCGAAGAAATTTATAAAAAGTTTGCAAATAATTGAATTTCTGTGAAGTTTTTATTATTTTTGAAAATAATTAAATGATTGCGTAGAATTTTATCAAAATTTTTTTTAATTTAATTGAATTCTTTTGTAAAATTTTATTAAAATATTGGATATTGAAAATCATTGACATGGGGAAAAGTTTTGAAAATAATTGAAATTTTGCTAAGAATTTTATTAAAATTTTTTAAAATAATTGAATTTCGGAAAAGAATTTTTTTACTTTTGAAAATATTTGCATTTCTGCAATCATTTGTAGTTTCACCAAAATTCAATTTCTGAGTGTTTTAACTAAAATTCATCCATAAATCTAGAATTTTTAATAATTAATTAAATATACAATGAAAAAATTAACAGGAATTTAAATTATTAAAATTTTTTAAAATTCAATTCAATTTTTCTCGAAAAAATTCAATTAGATATTTTTGACATTTTTAATAAACTTCTTTGCAGAAATTCAATATTGCTAAAACTCTTTATCGGAATTATATTATTGTCAATAGAATTTTAATTAAATTTCTAGAAAAAAGTCAAATATTTTTTAAAAATTTGTATAAAATCGAAAATTGTAATAAAATTTTTAGAATAAAAATCAAATATATCCAAAATTTTAATAAAATTATTCAAAATAATTTAATTATTTTTAAATAATGGAAATAAAATATTCTTCGCAAGAATTCAATTATTTTTACAATAAATAATAAAATTATTCTTCGCAGGAAGATTAAGTTTTTTGAAAGAATTCAATTACATTCAATTCAATTTGAATTACATTTCTCGAAAGACTTTAATTTATTTTAAACATTGTAGTAACAAAATTCCTGTGAGGAATTTAATTATTTACAAAAAAATTTTAATAAAAATTTTGTGAAAATTTGAAAGAAATTTTTCGCAAATATCAATTACTTTTAAAATTTTGCAATAAAAATTATTTCAAAAATCTTCGTAGAAATTTAATTATTAAAAAAAATTTTTAATAAAATTCTTCGAAAGAATAATAGTTTCGAAAATTTTGATAAATTTCTTTATAAATATTCTATATTCTATTCAACAAAATTCTATGCAAGAATATGAAATATATTGACAGAATTTTCATTTCTCTTAATAAACAAAGAAATGAAATGAAAATTTCATCATTTTATGAATTCCATGAAATAACAATTTGTATAAATGAAAATTCGGACAAAAAAAAATCCGATGAAATGAAAATTCTGACATTTAAGAGTTCGACTAATTAAAATTCTGTTAAATGAGATTTCTAATAATAAATTCGATTAGATTAGATTTCTTTTGGAAGAAGAAGATTGCTAATTAAAAGTTTTATCAATTCAAAATTAAAATGAAAATTTTCAAAAAAAATATAGAGAAAATTAATATTTTTTATGATTTAAAAATATGGATATATATAACACTTGATTGGATTTCCAATGAAATCTCCGATTTCCTTCAGCAATATAAATTAAATGACATCCGGAAGTGCATATCCGTTCAAAAGTTATTTATCATAATATTTGTAGCATCAAATTTGTCTGCTTCCCCTGTACATTTTCATGTTTACTCGCACGATTCATAAATTTTCAGTATCGGAATTTTTAATTTCATGAAAATTTATTACAGTACAATGCAAACATTTTGTGTTGAATTATTTTTTTTTCCTTTTACACGTGCGTCAATATTAATATATACGATATTTATATATAGTCTAAATCAATTATAAAATATGTCTTCAATGTGAAATATTTAAATTTTTTTCATATTATTGACAAAAAGTCTTTTTCAGGAATTAGTAAAGTGTAGAGAGAATAATTAAAAATGGAAAATATTATCTACTTTGTTTTCAAGAATACATAATTTCGTACGTTAATTATGCGTCATCATTTCGGTATATCCTGTGATAAAAATAAAAATCATATCCAACAACTTCTTAAAACTAAATTTTGTTGACTAAAATAAAATTAGTGATTCTCATAAAGACCCAAGACTTTTACTTGTTTGGGGTACAATTTTTCTAAAACGTATTTTCTAATTTTTTATTTTCTAAAAATTTTTTTTCTAATAAAGGCAAATTTCTAAAAAAAAAATTTTCTAATTTTCTTTCTTCTAATAAAAGTCATTTTCTAGAAATTTCTTTTTCTAATAAAGGTGAATTTCTAAAAAAATTTGTCTAATGAAGGTGATTTTCTAATTTTATTTCTTCTAATAAAAGTAATTTTCTAGAAATTTATTTTTCTTATAAAAGTAATTTTCAAAAAAAATTTTTTCTAACAATATTCAATTTTTGTAAAGAAAATTTTTAAAAATTAAAAAATAAAATTTACGAAAATTTTCTAATTAAAAAAAAAAATACTTGAGATTTTGTTAAAAAATTATAATAAAAAATTGAAATTATGTAAAATTTTTAACAAAATTTAAAAATAATCTATTTAAAAATCGTAATTATTAATAAATAGAAATTATAGGGATTTTTTCCCTAAAGATATTTAAAATTTTCTAAAAAAGTGCGTTTTATAAATAAACAAGTAAATAAATTAATTTTGGAAATTTTGATAAAAAAATTATGTAAATTATTATTTTTTCTTAAAAGAAAAACAGAATTTTGTTCACAAATTGTGATATTCTTACGTTATTTCATAAATTTTTTTCTTCTTTTTCAAAAAGAAACTCATAATTTTGTGAACTGAATTGTGATTGAGAAACAGAAAATATGCAAAATAGTTTCTATTTCTTAATCTTAATTTTTTAACAATTTTTTAATTTTTATTGAAATTATGGAATTTTACAAATTTTAGGAAAATAAATATTAGAAATCATAATTTTTTAGAAAATTTTTTTTTAGCAATCAAAACTTGTTAGAAAAACCTTTTAGAAACCTTTTTTAGAAAACAGATTTCATTGATAATCGCTTTTATTTTAGACAAAAAAGATTAGAAAATATTTTTAAGGAAAAAGTGACTACCCACCCTTTTACTTTGATAGATTTTTATTTTCATTTTCGTTTTTACTTTCACTTTTATTTTTACTTTAAAAACTTAAAAAAATAATTTTTTCAACTTTGACTGAAGAAAGTGCGAA